GACGAGGGAGGAGGGGACGGGAGGAGGGGAGGACGAGACGAGCGGGAACAGAGCAACATAGGGTGGGTGGGCAGGACAGGAGAGACGGGACGAGCACGGGAGGGACAGCGAGCCCAAACGTAAGACAGAGGTGTAGGGTCAGGGGACAGCAGAGGAGACACAGGAGGGGAACGAGGAGGAAGACGGGCCGGAGATGAGTCTGGCGGCGGGAACACAAGACCGTAGACAGGAAGGTCAGCAGGCGGTGGGGGAGACACCGTCGCACGGTCGGGGGGAGGAAGGCCGAGCAGGCGGAGAGCGGAGACCGGCGGCGACGGCTGCTGCGGCGGCGACGACGGCTGGGCCGGAACTCTCGGACCAGCAGAGGCAGAACGATCGTCGGCACAACACTCAACTGCAGCACCCCCAGAACCAACACCCCCAAAGCGAGAACCCCCTCCAACACCAGCGGCACCTCGAGAAGCCGCCGGACGAACACCCTCCTCCACACCAGCACCCCAAGGGACCAAAAGCGGCGGCGGCAGTGGCGGCGACGACTGCGGCGGCGACGGCTGCGGCGGCGGCGACAGCGGCGACGGCTGCGGCGGCGGCGACAGCGGCGACGGCTGCGGCGGCGACGCCGGCGGTGGCTGCAGCAGGGTCGGAGACTGCGACAATGGGGGCGGAGGCACCGGGGAAGGGGGACGCGGCAAGGACAGACCGGGGGTACCACCAGAGTCAGCAGACTCCTCAACGGGGACAACCGACGGGAGGGGAATGACGTGAGAGACACCAGACGGGGCAGGACGCGGCGGAGGAGGGGGGCAGGGGCTACCGGGAGAGAGGGAGCAAGGAACAGGGGGGGGGCAACTGGGAGACCTCGGTAAGGGAAGCGTCGGTAGAAGGAGACAGACTCGTCAAAGGTGACGTCACGAGAGTGGAGGAAGCGGTGAGACGGCGGGTGATAGAAAAGCCAGTCAGACGAGTCCAGGGGGAAACTGAGGAAGACACAGTGGACAGTGCGGGCAGTGAGCTTGTCCGTGCCAGAGGCAAAAACGTGAGCAAGGCAGCCCCAGACGTGGAACGCAGACGCGTCACCGGGGGACCCGGTCCAAAGGTGGGTCAGCGAAACCTGTGGCCGCTGGGAGCGTGGCCACAAGTTAAGCTGGTGAGCAGCGTAGCGAACAGCGAACGGCCACAGAAAATGGGGGACATCGGTATGGATCATGGAGGTACGGGCGACCTCCATGACCAAGCCAATGCGGCGCTCAGCAACCCCATTCTGCTGTGGCGAGTCCGGCAAGGTGTACGACTGGGTGATGCCCTCCGCACGACAGAACTGTCCAAGCCGACCAGAGGCGAACTCGCCGCCACGGTCGGAGTGGAGACACAACACGGGGAGACCGCGGTGGAGACGCGCAGCCACAACCCACGGGAGAAGAACGTCGGGCACGTCGGCCTTCCGCTCCAGGGGAAACACCGGGGTGTAGCCCGTGTAGTCGTCGACGAGCACAAGGAAGTAGCGCTCACCGCGCGGTCCGGGGACGGGGGCAGGGCCCCAAACGTCCAGGTGCAGGGTCTGAAGGGGGCAGTAGCAGGGCACAGCGAGGAGGAGTGAGGAGCGCGGCGGAGGCGACCCTCGACGCAAGGCGTGCACGGTGGCGCAGTCAAGGGAGGAAGGTCAGGGAGGGACGCGGGGAGACCTAAGACAAGACCGTGCTTGGACATGTGACGCAGACGCGGGAGAGCAGGGTGACCTAAGCGGTGGTGCCAGAGAAGGGAGGGGTGAGTGAGGGACCGATACGAGCAAGCTGCAGCGACCTGGGAGGACGCACCAACCGGGGGGGAAGCGGTGTCTAGGGTAAACATATCGGACACCGGGTCCCGAGGGAACATTGCAAGGGGGGAACGTGAGACAGCCTCAGAACAGACAGCGAACCGCTCATGCCCGGGGAACGTGGTGGTGACGCCGAGGTCCTGGAGACAGCCGATGCCAACCAGGTTCCTGGAGAACGAGGGAATGTGGAGGCCAGTAAGGGAGCCCGAGGGAACTGCCGGACAGGGAAGGGACGTAGAACTGCGCGCGACGACAGGAGCTGCAGAGGGGTCAGCGAGAGAAACAACAGCAGGTGCAGCAAGCAGCGTGAGCGTGGAACGGTCGCGGAAGAAGCAGGCAGAAGCACCGGAGTCGAGAGTGAAGGACAGCGACGCAGTGGCAGAGGCCGGGGACGGAGCCGGTGCAGCGACTAGACTAGGCAACCTAGGCAGTCCTACGCTTGACGCAGCAGGAGAGGCTAAGCTACACAGTGGTGCAACACCTAAACTAGAGAACACAGGGTAATAAGATCCAGCAAAACTAGAAGCGTCAGAATACAAAGCATGCAAGGCAGCACCTATCTGATCCATGTCTAACTCAAAGATCGGCACGCCCTGGCGGAGCAGGCTGTGCCAGTCGGGGAGGTCCGGGGCCGGGCCAAAGCGACGACGAAAGAGATTGTCGAGGTGGCGGAAACAGCGGGCGGTCGGGTGCGGGCGGCGGCACAGAGTGCCGCGAAGAGGCCCGGTCTGAAGCTGGTACTGGCAGGTGACAGCACCGGAGCCGCCGGTAGACGCTAAGCTGCGCGGGCCGCCACCACGGCCACTACCTCCGGAGGTGCCGGGCCAACCAGGCGGAAGACGGGCCCACTGCTGCGGCGACTGCTGCTGGGACGGTGACTGCTGCTGGGGCGGTGGCTGCGACTGGGGCTGCTCCTGCTGCGGCTGGGGCTGCTGCTCCTGCCTACCAGTGGTAGTCCCCGCAGGCGGACTACCGTCACCAGCACCACTTGCGCCACCACCCCTACCTCCCTGGCGACCACGGCCACCGCGGCGCGAGCGCTGCTGCGGGTGGACCGCACCAGCCGTCCCGGTGAGAGGGGCCGCCGAGGCGACCGCAGCCGAAACGTCAGTGAACGTACACTGGGAGGGGGCACAAGCGTGAAAGATAGAAACTGCCAGCGCACCGCTCGACTGAGCGATAGTGCGCTGGCGAGTCTTGATCTCTGTGAGGGTATCGACAAAGGTGGTAAGGGTGAGGTCTTCCGGGTGCTGGCTAAGGAAGTGATCGCGAGCACTAGCGAAGCAGTTTGGCAGGCGCATGGCGATAAAATAGAGCGTCATGCAGAAAGGGGGGGGGAGCGCAATGAGCTGGGCAGCAGTGCTGGCAGTGCGATAGCGGGTCTCTAGGGCACGCGGGTGAGTGGCAAAGTCTGCGACGGTAGGGAAAGCTGCAAGGTCTGGGAAAAGCATAGGGAAGAGCAGGCGGCCAGCAGAAGCAGCCGCGGGTGTGGAATAGCGAGCAATAACGGCGTCTAAGTAAGCTTTGGCCGTCTCAATAGTAGCAAAACGCGAGCGCTCAGAGACAAGGAGGGCGTGGCTAATGGCAACCTGAGCGACTGCATCGCGGGAGTCCCAGACCGCACGGGCAAGCGCAGCAGTAGAGAAGGTCTCACGGTCATCAGAGGAGGGATCAGCAGGGAGGGGAGCAGGTGCGGGGGGGCGAGGGAGCAAGCCGTTGACATGGACAACCAAAGAGTGGCCATCCTGGCGCTGACCTGTAAGGTGGCGGCAGAGATCGGAGAGCCAGGCGGCGAAGTCAACCGCATGGCCCTCGGAGTCCAGTCGGAGCACGAACTCCGCCATCGTGCAGGGTCAGCGGCACAGCTCCACAGGAACACAGCGACAGCCCCCTCCAGCACGGCGGCCGCGAAGCGCCTCAGCACGGACGAGCAGAGGAGACGGAGCCCGAGGCGGCACGGCAGGACGAGCCGGGGCGAAGGGGCCAGGCAGGTGCGGTGGGGCCAGGCAGGTGCTGGCGCGGCCAGGCAGGCGCGGCGGGGCCAGGCAGGCGCGGTAGGGCCAGGGTGGCGCGGCGGGGCCAGGCAGGCGCGGCGGGGCCAGGCAGGCGCGGCGGGGCCAGGCAGGCGTGTCGGGGCCAGGCAGGCGCGGCGGGGCCAAGGAGGCGCGGCGAGGCCAGGCAGGCGCGGCGGGGCCAGGGAGGCGCGGCGGGGCCAGGCAGGCGCGGCAGGGCCAGGCAAGTGCGGCGGGGCCAGGCAGGCGCGACGGGGCCAGGCAGGCGCGACGGGGTTAGGCAGGGCGCGACGGGGCCAGGCAGGCGTGTCAGGGCCAGGCAGGTGCAGCGGGGCCAGGCAAGCGCGGCGGGGCCAGGAAGGCGCGGCAGGGCCAGGGAGGCGCGGCGGGACCAGGCAGGCGCGACGGGGCCAAGCAGGGCGCGACGGGGCTAAGCAGGGCGCTACGGGGCTAGGGTGGCGCGACGGGGCCCAGGAGGGGCGCGACGGGGCCCAGGAGGGGCGCGACAGGGCTAGGGTGGCGCGACGGGGCCCAAGAGGGGCGCGACGTGGCTAGGAGGCGCTACAGGGCTAGGAGGCGCGACAAGGCCTAGCTAGGGTACGGGCGGAAGCGGTAGGTGGGGGATGCTAACCTATGCGTGATACCATGTTAACGTGAGAACGAATGATGACTGGAAGTGGAAACCTAGAACAAATACTAGTTGGTTGTACTCACTAGAAGCATACCTCAGTCTAGCCTATAACATCTACATAGCTAATATGTATAAGTTGACAGGTGGGAGGGCGGGGGGGGGGGGGGGGGGGGGGGGGGTGGGGGCGCGGGGGCGGGGGGTTTGGGGTCTCAATCCGTTACAGAGTGCGCCACTACGAGAATGGCCCGTAAGTATTCATTAAAAAAAAACCCTTTACGCAAAGGAATCGATTGAAATCTTTCCCGTTAATTGGACAGATTCGGAAAAAAATCGCACCCTAGAAAAACGGAATCGCTGGAAAAAATACCCTTAATTTCTCGACATTAAGGGTAATTACCCTGTTAACGAGAGGCCTGGTGTGATGGGATGCTGCACTTGATTTAGATAGGGGAAACAGCACTACAGTGGGTCTGATCATTGCATTTCGTTCCTTTCGTTACTACTTACACTAGCAACTTTGTGGACATGCTAGTGCCAAAGGTGTGATTGATAAAAAGTGCACTGGATACAAATCATAAGGAAGCCGAGATGATGGGAAGATCACATGCCTTGAAAAAGGTGGAGGAGCACTCCAATGAGTCAAGAATAACCGCTTCCAGCACAACACCATTTGTGCTGCTGCTGCTACTACTGTCAGTGCATCCGCCATTACTGCCACAATCTGGTGCACCAGACACTAGTGCAACAGGTGCAGTAGCTGCTACTGCTGCAGCATCAGCACATGAAGAATTTGATTCTGTGCTTGGGGGAAGTTCCTTGGCTTGGGGTGGAGGCAGCACAGCCAGCAGCTCAGCCTTGGAAAAGATTCCAGTGCAGACCCCGATAGGCTTGGCACCACCGAACCTGGCAGCAATGATGTCATTCGGCTGCAGGTACGCACAGTGGGGAAAAGTTGATCGGGCAGGTAACAACGCAGCACACGTGGGGTGGAAAGGAAAGGGTATGAAGAAAGAGAGGGTGGAAGGGTTGGGCGGGAGTTGAAAGCAACGGAGAGGAAAGAGGGAAAAGGTAGGATCTTGATAGTGCAAGGATGGAAAGGTTGGGGTAAGTGAGTGGAAGGAAAGGAGGAGGAATTGAATTCATCTCACCGTGTCACCAACATGAGCATGCAGCCTGAAGGGCGGACCTGGTATTCTCTCCTCTGCCCGCTGCCTCGCTATCCGAACTAGCTCTCCCCGATCCATATGGTCGCTGCCGAACCTGCACAGGCCAAGCAGGAATGGAGGAGGAGGAAGGGGGGTGGGGGGGGGAGGGCGTAGAATAATGGCCCAATGGTCCATGCTGGGAAATGACACATCAGGCGTTAGGAACAATGATGATGACGACGATCATGATGATGATAATGGCGTGGTGAAAAGGGGCTCGGCATCAAGTCAAGCCCTTCCATCTTAAGTTATGCTACGCCCCCCAGACTGCTTTCTCAAACCATGGCATGGTGTGAAGCCTCTCAAACCATGGCATCGTGTGAAGCATCTCAAACCATGGCATCGTGTGAAGCGTCTCAAACCATGGCATCGCGTGAAGCGTCTCAAACCATGGCATCGTGTGAAGCGTCTCGAACCATGGCATCGTGTGAAGCGTCTCGAACCATGGCATCGTGTGAAGCGTCTCAAACCATGGCATCGTGTGAAGCGTCTCAAACCATGGCATCGTGTGAAGCCTCTCAAAACATGGCATCGCGTGAAGCGTCTCAAACCATGGCATCGTGTGAAGCCTCTCAAAACATGGCATCGCGTGAAGCGTCTCAAACCATGGCATCGTGTGAAGCCTCTCAAAACATGGCATCGCGTGAAGCGTCTCGAACCATGGCATCACGTGAAGCGTCTCAAACCATGGCATCGTGTGAAGCGTCTCAAAGCTAACCATTACCCCCCAATGTGTGGTGCGGTGAAGAGGGCATCGACGTCAAGCCCCTCCATCTTGAGCCACGCGATGTCCTCCAGATTGCCCGTCACCTGCCATGCAATGCCATGTACTGCCAAATGAGCCCACGTACAGCCACGTTCAGTGCAAGCATACATGACATTACCTGGAATCGCATGGCATGGCATGGTATGGTATTTGCAGTGCTCAGGGTGAAATCAGTAGAATTATTTCGAGCCATATCGCAGTTACATTACATTTGACCAAGAGGCACGTGCCAAGACACGTGTCAAGCCCAGGGTTACACCAGCAACCATCGCCACTTCCCCTATTTTCCTCACCAGTCCCACCACCACGTTGGGCTGCACGCCCGTGAGCTCCTCCAATAACGTGCGGACACCTGGCAGCAGCGCAATGCCGTCCGCTGAGTCCCCCGCGTGCTCCCTGCAGTACTGCAGCATGGCTTCGCACAGCACTGGCAGCTGAGGCTCGCTTATCTGCAGGAAGTAGGGGGCAGAAAGGCACAAGACCAACCCTGAGCGCACTGGGGTTTGCCTGTAGGGAGTGAGAGGTCGTCGCTGACCCTCAGCATGGTCGTCTTCCCCACATGCTCCCTCCCAGCAGCACTGCAGCATGGCTTCGCGTATTCCCTGAGCATGCTCGCTGATCTGCAGGGAGTGATGGGCGGAAAGACACAAGGTCGCTGCATCCCCCCCTCGCAGGCTCCCTGCAGTACTGCAGCATGGCTGCACACAGCACCGGCAGCGGCGGCTCACTGATCTGTGGGTGGTGGGGGCGCAATAAGGGCAAGCAGCGGATCATGTGAGGCGGAAGGCAGAGCCTGAGCATCGCCCGCAAGCTCCTGGCAGTGCTGCTGCAGCATGGCCGCACACAGCACTGCCAGTTAAGGCTCGCTGATCTGCAGGCGTCAGAGGTAGGGAGGGAAGGAAGGAAGGAAGGAAGGAAGGAAGGAAGGAAGGAAGGACGGAAGGAAGGACGGAAGGAAGGACGGAAGGAAGGAAGGACGGAAGGAAGGGGAAAGGTGAGCGCTGAGGTGCGAGGGGAAAGCAGGGCCCTGAGTATCCCCTCTGTGCTGGCACTCGGGGCTGCTGAGGATCCCCTCCGCACTCCATTGCTCTCCCCGCTGCTTTTGAGGCGCCTCAAAACTCACTCCATTGCTCTCCCCGCTGCTGCCCGAGACAGTGCTGGCAACTTGGGCTGCCGATTTGCAGGTGTAAGGGGAAGTGAATGACAGTGCCCAGTGGAATGTCCCCCGCAATGCCAGCGTTGCTTGAAACAGCTTTATCCGTCTACCAATCGATCCAATAACGAGTACACCATCACCGCAACGAGTACACCCATCTCCGCAATTTAGAATAGTAGAACTCGAGGGTGTTCACAGCTATCAGAATTCACATGTCTGGGAATACCGTAGAACTCGAGGGTGTTCACGAGAACCCCCTATCTGAGTATCAATACACGCAGTAACAAGTACACCCACCAAAGTAATGATGAATGATGCGCACAGAGATTCACACTCACATCTCTGGGAATGCCGTAGCACTCGAGTGTGCTGGTGATAGCAGCCGGATCCGATCCTGTGCAGTGCACAACAGGCAACACTCACGTGTCTGGGAATGCCGTAGAACTCGAGGGTGTTGATGAGGACAGCCTGATCCGTGCTGCCATGGTGCTGAGGGGAGACAAGGGGCAGGGGATAGTGAAGGGGACCAAAGAAAAGGGTTAGGCGGGAATGAGATGACATGTCATGCTCAATTGATGCATACAGCCATTGTCTCGGGTGTTTCGGGGTGTTTCGGGGTGTTTCGGGGTGTAAGACTCTCAGAGTGCTGTCATCGGCACCGGCATTCCACTCGTGTGGAGCTCAGAACGTGCATGCATCAATGCATCAATTGTGTGGAACCTCCGATTCTCGGCTCTTCACCCAAGCTTCTGTTACGGCATCGAGTCCCCCTCGCACCTGAATGGGGTCGATGGTGCCTTTCGAGTCGACTCAAAAGTCAACCCGTGGCTCCCGAACACTCTCCGCATGGCATCTACGGCCGTCATGCTACGACCGTCATGCTACAACCGTCATGCTAGCAGCGCTGCTTGCTACCCCGTACCTGGATCGCGTCTATGGTGCCGTGGATCCCGAACACTCTCCGCATGGCATGCTCGAATCAAAGGCCGTCAAATTGTGACCGTTAGGCTGGTAGCACCCTCTCGCACCTGGATCGCGTCTATGGTGCCTTGGATCCCGAACACGCTTTTCATGGCGTGCTCGAACGCGCGCTTGTGGAGCTTGTTGGACTCCGACCCGACACATTTGGCACGCACGGCCAGAGACACACCTGAATGGCGTCTATGGTGCCTTGAATCCCGAACACTCGCTTCATGGCGTGCGCGAACGCGCGCTTATGGAGCTTGTTGGACTCCGAGCCGACCGAGTGGATCAGCGTGCCGTCCACGTCGAACGTGATCAGCACCCGCGAATCAGCGGCGTCGGCCACGTCAGCCGTCTGCGCCACGGCAGCGCTCATAGTTATTTGCTCGCGGAATCGTTATCCGGCAGCACCGAGCAAATCGTTATCCGCGAGCGACCACGTGGCACCGCTCCCATCGTCCCCCGTGGCAGGAGATCCCCCATTCAAGAGCACCGAGTCGGACGTGAACGCTCCTCCACCTGACCATCCTCCTCGGAATAGCGCTGATCCACTCCCGCCCACTCGCGCTCCTAATCTACCCACTCGCGCTCCTGATCTACCCACTCGCGCCCATACCATGAACGACGCTCTTACCTCGTCTGCTCTCCCCGCCTCTACCCTCCCTCCCTCCGCTCTCGCGTCGTCCGCGAATCACGTTCATGCCGTCCAATCCGCGCCGACCGACCTTGCCTTGGAATCCGGGAAACGCGGGAAGCCACGTAGGCATGTCCCCGGCCAGATGACGCCTCTCGCGGCGCTCCTCGGGTCGCCGCAAACTGCGGGGATCGCGCTCTCGGGTCCCGACGCGTCGCCTCCCCCCATGCTACTCCCCTCCCCGCCGGTTTCCCCCGCTGGGGAGTCCGCGCTCCCTGATTCCGCCTTCGCGGAAGGGGGGTTACCCCGCGGGGGGTCGTGGCGGGTCTCTGAAGCTGGCGGCCGGGCGGGGGGAAGCGGAGCGGGGGGGACGGGCGGAAGGGGAGTGGACTCCGCGCAAGAGGTGGTAGCAGTGGCGGGCGCGAGGGGGACGGAAGGGGAAGCGGGGGGAGCGGAGAGGGAAGTTGGGGAGGCGGGGTGTTTCTATGAATCGGTGCGCGTGCCCCGTGACGTGGTGCGCGTGTGGCAGGACTGCTGGCGTGGCGCGTGGCAGGCTGACGTGGAGATCCGATCCGCCGTGGATGGCGGGCTGGTGCTGGCGCAGGGCGCAGTGCTGGTGAGTTTTTAGTCGTCTCAAACAATCCCTACGCAGGGCTGGTGAGATGATCAACAGGCGCAGGGCTGGTGAGATGATCAACAGGCGCAGGGCTGGTGAGATGATCAGGGGCTCGTTGCATGTGGGTGCATGCTGCCCTCGGACATGATGGCCACACAGCAGGTGGCCTCACAGCAGGTGGCCACACAGCAGGTGGGTACACGTGGAGGGCAAAAAGGAGTTCTATTGGAAGCTTACGGGCTTTATTTAACGTGCCGTCCTGCCCCCTCTCCCCTCACTCCCCATTCTCTACCCCCTCACTTCAGGCCGCCCATTCCCAGGGCCTTGAGCGCATGTTGGCAGGGGCGATGCTGCGGCAGGCGCGGCCGCCATGGGTGATAGTGGTGAGGGGCGTGCCGGTGGAGGCGATCAGAGGCGTGGTCCAAGCGCTTTACTGTGGCACGTGAGTGAGGGCCTTCCTCTCCGATCCTATTCCTGTGAGAGTGTTTCTCACCGCCATGTTGCTTTAAATGGTGGGTGATAGTGGGGAGGGGCGTGCCCGTGGAAGCTATCTGAGGGGAGGGAGGGGCGTCCAGGCGCTGTACTGCGGCACGTGAGTTGCTCGTTTGCTTGGCGCAAGGATTTTTTAGTCGACTCAAAAATCACCTGAGGGGTGGTTCAGGCGCTCTATTGCGGCTCGTGAGTTGCTCGTTTGCTTGCCCCAACGATTGCTCATTGGCTTGTAGCCAAATGGTGGGTGATAGTGGTGAGGGGAGCGCCGGTGCAGGCCATCAGGGGCGTCGTCCAGGCGCTGTGCTGCGCGGCACGGGAGTCTGCGCCTTGCCACTGCCTTGTGTCGTAGTGTTTCTCCTTGGGCTGACCGATCAAAATCGGTGATGGTGGTGAGGGGAGCGCCGGTGGAGGCCGTCAGGGGCGCCGTCCAGGCGCTGTGCTGCGCAGCACGTGAGTCCGGGCAAGTTGTGAATGCTTCTAGTTCGCTCGTCGATTGCGAAATGTGTTATTCAAGCAAGCAAGCAGCCATCCTGTCAAATTTCCACTCCCCTCGCCCCCAAACTGCAGCATGGACCACACATTAATGGATCGCCATATCCTTCCATCTGCTCCTGCTGGCGCACTCCCTCTTTCGCCCCTCCCCTTCCCCCTCAACTTGATTGCACCTTGCTTTTCTCACCCTCTTCTCACCCTTGATTCACAGCATGGACGACGCGTTAATGGACCGCCACATCTTCCACCTGCTCCTACTCGGCCACTCTCTCCCCATCCCCCTCCTCAAGTCCCTCTGCCTCGAAGCCCTCCGCTCCCGCCTCCTCTCCCCGGCCAATGCCGTCGACACACTTGTCCTCGCGCGGCTGGTCGGCTCGCGCGCGCTGCAGGCGCTGACTCAGCAGTACATTGTGCGGCACCACGCTGATGTGGCGCTGACGGACGCATGGGCCATGCTGAGTCAGGAGTATCCGGACGTGAAAGGGATGCTGGAGGAGATGGTGGAAGCGAGGAGGAGGGTGAGTGATGAGATTGGGAGGAGGATGAGGAGGAGGGGTGAGTGATGGGGATGGGAGTGGGATGAGGAGGAGGGGTGAGTGATGGGAATGGGAGGAGGATGAGGAGGAGGGGTGAGTGATGGGGGGAACAGGAGTGATGGGAGAAGGATGGGGGTGAGGGGTGGGGTGACGTTTGGTTGACTTGAGAGGCGCGAGTCACACGTGAGAGTGGGTCACTGTCTACATGTGAAAGGGATGCTGTGGATATGGTGGAAGCAGGGTGAGTGAGGAGGGGAGACTGTGAGAGACACAATCTTTCCTCTCGTCGTCTTCCCGTCTGCCTTTTCTTCTGTATGTTCCCTTGTCCCCACTGTCTAGTTTTGAGGCGCCTCATCCCATTCCCTTCACTCACCCCTCCTCCTCATCCTTCTCCCATTCTCATCACTCACCCTCCGCCTCAACACTAAAATTTTATTCTGTATGTTCCCTTCTCCACACTGTCTCTCCCCCTTCCTCTTCTCCCTCCTCCCTCACAGTGCAACGCCAGCGGCGGCTGGCAGGGCGAGGAGGGGTGGGCGCGGCAGCAGGTGCAGCAGGCAGGGCGGGCATTGGAAGTTGGAGCACATGCTGCCCCTTCGCCCTTCTGCTCTCGTTTCCTTCTCTTACGCATTCTCAATCGCCCCTCAATTGCCCCTTGCCCTCTGTCATGTGCCATCACTGCATAGAAACAGTTGGCAGGGCGAGGAGGGGTGGGCGCGGCTGCAGGAGCAGCAGGCAGTGCAGGCCCTAGAGCACATGCTGCCCCTTCAGTCACCCCCTTCTCGCACACAGCCCCCACTCCCCATTCCCCACTCCCCATTCCCCATTCCCCATTCCCCATTCCCCATCCCCCTTGCCCCTTACCCCTTGCCCCTTGCCCATTGCCCCTTGCCCCTTGCCCATTGCCCCTTGCCCCTTGCCCATTGCCCCTTGACCCTTGCCCCTTGCCCCTTGCCCCTTGCCCATTGCCCCTTGCCCCTTGCCCCTTGCCCCTTGCCCCTTGCCCCTTGCCTCTCACAGCGCAACACCAGCTGGCAGGGCGAGGAGGGATGGGCGCGGCAGCAGGTGCAGCAGGCAGTGCGCGCCCTGGAGCACATCTGCAACGACGGTAGCTGTGCCTCCGCATCCGCATCCGCCTCCGCCTCCGCCTCCGCCTCCTCTCCCCCTCCCGCTGCCCCCCCGCTGTGCCCCCCTCTGCCTCTGCTGTGGAGGGTGAGGGAGTGAGGGCGGGGAGGGGGAAGGAGAAGATGGTGCAGAGGGAGGAGGAGCAGCAGAAGTGACAGACGGGGAGGAGAGAAGCCCAGATGGTGCTGGTACTGCTGCTGCTGCAGACACTCCAGGTCAACAAGGCCAAACAGGTCAAACAAGCCAAATGGACCCACACACTCTCCCCTCTGCGAGCGCACTCGCGCCCACGCTCTCCTCCCTCTCCTCCTCTCAATACCAGGGCGGCAGTGGTACCCTCTCCACCCTATCCTCCTCCTCCTCCCTCCTCTCTGTCCACCCCATGTCCCCCCCAACTCCCGCCACCCCTGCCGCTCCCCCCACCCCCTGCGGCCTGCCTAAGTGCCGGCCGGTGGAGGGGTTGATCCGGCACTTTGCTAAGTGCGGCGTGAAGGTGTCGGGCGGGTGTGCGAGCTGCAAGGTGGTGTGGCAGCTGCTGGAGCAGCACTCAACCGCGTGTGAGAAGCAGAGGGGGTGCCGCGTGCCACTGTGCAGGTAAGGGGTGCTGCTGCCACTGCTCTGTATGACAGTAAGGTGGTGCAAGGTGGTAAGCGACTTATGGAGTCTGAGCGTGCATGCTGCAAGCTGGTGTGGTGGCTGCTGGTGCTGGAGCAGCAGTCAACCGCGCATGTGAGAAGCGAAGGGGTTGCCGTGTCTCACTGTGCAGGTAGGCGTTTGGAGCATTCTGAGGCCCATCAGAAGCTGGTTCTTCTCCCTGCTACTCCTCGAAGAAGCCTTTCCCCATTAGAAGCTGGTCCTTCATGCCTCTCTGCGTACCGTCATTCCCCCTCCCTCCCTGCACAACATGTCTCAACCTCGACCCATGGTTGTCTCCCTGCCCCACCTGCTGGCGGCTCCGTGATTGTCACACATCTGCCTTTGAGCCAACTTAAAAGCGCCTCCAGGCTTGTCATACATCTCCACAGGCAATTCTGGATCTAGTGTGCTTCTGAGTCGTCGCATAGGGCTTTTGAGTCGACTCAAAAGCAATTCTGGATCTAGTGTGCTTCTGAGTCGACGCATAGGGCTTTTGAGTCGACTCAAAAGCAATTCTGGATCTAGTGTGCTTCTGAGTGGACGCATAGGGCTTTTGAATCGACTCAAAAGCAATTCTGGATCTAGTGTGCTTCTGAGTCGACGCATAGGGCTTTTGAGTCGACTCAAAAGCAATTCTGGATCTAGTGTGCTTCTGAGTCATCGCATAGGGCTTCTGAGTGGACGCATAGGGCTTCTGAGTGGACGCATAGGGCTTCTGAGTGGACGCATAGGGCATTTCCTGCAAGCCATTCTCTTTCCCGAGTCTTTGACCCGTGCTTATTCTCCCTGCCACGCCTGCTGGCGCCTCCATCCTTGTATGCCTGTCGTGCATCCCCACAGGCAACTCAGGAGCCAACATGCCTTTTGAGTTGATGCATCAGCTCGTCCTGCTCCCCATCTAGATTCACACCATGCGCCTCCATCCTTGTATGCCTGTCGTGCACCCCCACAGGCAATTCAAGAGCAAGCAGCACCAAGAGCACGGCACCGGGATTAAGGGCAAGGAGAAGCTTCCAGCAGCAGAGAATGCAGAGCAAGTGACAGCGCTAGCTAAGGCACTCGTGGCCCTGGAGCATGCCTAGGGCGGTAGAAGTAGGGTGGGGGGAGTGGAGGCAAGGAGAGAGCGTCAGCAGCAGCAGCAGAGTGTGCAGAGCAACGGACTGCGCCAAGGCACTCCTGGCTCTAGAGCATGCCTAGGCCTCATAAAACCAGGGTGGGAGGGGTGGGTGTGGGGGTGGAGGCAAGAAGAAGGTGCCAGCAGCAGCAGTAGCACCAGTAGAGCATGCAGCGCAAGCCACAGCGCTAGCCGAGCCTCTGGTTCCAGAGCATTCCAAGGCCTTATAGGAGCAAGATGGGAGACTGGATGTTAGGGGAAGGGGGGCACAGCAGCAGCAGCAGCAGGTGGTGCAGAGCAGGTGACAGCGTTAGCCGAGGCACTCTTGGCTCTAGAGCTTGCCTATGCTCAATGGAAGCAATGTGCGGGACTGGAGGAAATTCGAAGGCAGCCCTCCCAAGCTGACTTGATTCCTTCCTTCTCCTTCCAGCCACTCCGCCTCCCTCCCTGTATCATCCACGACCGTCCATTACACATGGACCAACCAAGCCGTTGAATTATACCCACCCATCGCCTTGACTCAAAGCAAGTCTGATTAATCACTGTTGCACGAAGACTGAAGGTGACAATATTTGCTACAGCCAAGAGTGTGGCAAGGAAACTTGGTAGAATTTCCCATGCTACAAGCAACTTACCTGTGTAAACTGTCCATGCAAGCGAAGGTGTGGAAGCGAGATGGAGGTACATAAAGAGTATGAATGTATGGTATGTGTAGCTCATGTCCACCTCGCACATGGAGAGAGAAGGATGAGAGCACTGTTTCCCAGAATGGGCCACGATTGATTAGGCCTGCCCAATGTTGTGGCATAATATTGACGTGTTGGACAATTCTCACCTTTGTCACATGCGTGTTTTTATACCTATACTTAGTGCAGGTAATTTCCATCTTTCAAACTGTAGCTTTTCATTATGCTGTTTTTCGGATGCATTTCTCCCAATTCCCCCTTCCGTGGCGCACGCAAACGCCTTGCGTGGAACAGGCAGTTGCCCGAACGTGGGGGTTCTGTTCGAACCATACCAGCTCGGCTCGGCACCGTCAAAAATCACCGACCAAATTGTTTGACAAAGCACTTTTAAGCGCTTCGATTGGCTAATTTTGTTGACAGTCACATTCTGCGCGCCATTTACTTGACGGCGCGCTGAACCTGGCTGGCTGTGTCCTGGGGAGGAAGCTGCGGTGCGAGACGCTCCCTACGAGCCGCATTCTTCACTTACCGAACCGCATTCTTCAATTCTCCAAATCGGCAATCTTCCATTTCAACCGAGCTTTGCATAAATTCGTTCCTGCTTCATCTCATCAGTTCGCTAACACAACCTACAGCCTCTGCCATTCGTCCCCCAATTTGCGCTCTAGCGTTTGTTACACACTCCAGATTTCAAGCTCGAAGTTACTTGCACTCTTTTGTTTATCACTGCTCCGCCGTTACTTCGCGTTTCCACCAACCATCATGGGCTCTCACGTGTCCCTCATTGGTGCGCTGCTACTAATGGTATTCCTAGGCCTCTCTCTCTCAGCATCGGAGGCAGCGCGCCCGTACTGCCGCTTCGACGGGAAGCTGGTGGTGAGCAACCTCGTGAAGGAGCTCTCGGCCGCTGGGAACTACTCCACCTTGCTCGCCGCGCTCAAGAAAACAGGTAGGAAGAGCTACATTGGGAAGAGTGACAGAGAGAAGAGTGACAGTGAGAAGAGCGACAGTGAGAAGAGCGATGGCGAGTAAGCCCAATTGAATTGACTGGTATCTGTCTGGCGCTGCTGCTCTCAGCCTCGTGAGGGAGGTCATTCCATGCGATACCTGGAGAATTTTCTAGATATTCTTTAATTCTTAAAATTTTGGAACGTGGCTTCCGGACACGACTCCACTTAGCTCGCCGCGCTCGAGACCACAGCATGTGGTATGGCGGATGATGCGATTTTCAAGGCGCCTCAGAATTTACCTCATGACGGAGAGTTCACATTGCTGTAAACAGCTCAGGGCTTTTGCCTCGCTGTCATATTTTCGCGCCTCGAATATCAGATTTGTTCAGTGTCGTATTTATACGTCTTACCCGTCCGCGTTCCCCGCTCCCACTCCACAATCCCCGTCACACAGATCTCGACGACGATCTGCCCGTTCTCTTCGACTGCTACGAGGCGACCCTCTTCGCGCCCACCGACGCGGCGATGAAGGAGATTCACGCGTAAAATTCCGTGACCCTTTCCCCCCAACCCCGTCAGATCTCGACGACGATCTTCCCGCGCTCTTCAACTGCTACGAGGCGACCCTCTTCGCGCCCACCGACGCGGCATTCGAGGAGCTTTCGAGCGACGCGAGGAGCGCGATAAAGGACGCCAAGGTGCTCCGAGAGGTGGTGCTGCTGCACGTGGTGCAGAAGAAGATGACCGCTGCTGATCTGGCGGCGCTGCCGCAGGGCAAGCAGGTGAGAGCATTGAGCAATGAGGGCAACATGCATGCCTTGAGGCGATCAAGGACGCCAAGGTGCTCCGAGAGGTGGTGCTGCTGCACGTGGTGCAGAAGAAGATGGCGGCTGCTGATCTGGCGGCGCTGCCGCAAGGCAAGCAGGTGAGGAGTTGTGGGCTGTGAGGGTTGAAACAACAGGAGCGCGGCTTGATTTGAGGGGCTACTAGGGGTCATCTCCATTTTCCATGTGGCGTAGTGCGATCTGACATCCTCGTGTGCTTGTTTCCCTCTTCCCCCAGCTCAAGGCAGCAGCAGGCGGGTGCAAGGCACGTCTGGTGAAGGTGTCACCTCGCGGGGCCCAGCCAGTCGAAGTGGAGGCCATGGACGGTCCCCAGGGAGCTTCCCTGGTGGCTCCTGACGTTATCTCGCTGCGAGTGGTGCAAGTGCATGGGGTGGATGACGTCATCCTGCCCAAGAGCCTGCAGAAGGGCGATGGGGATTCTCTCAAGCCCGGCAAGTGCCTTGCATGGCGGGCTTAGGATAGGAGGGGCTGCGTAGACAACATACTGTAGGAGACGGCTGGCACCCACTACCTGGGTGCGAGTACTTACGTGTGAGTCATGAGGACGAAAGCGGGACTTCCTGACTGGCGAGATGGCAGGGTAGCCATATATGTCGGACTGCCCTATCAGCATTGCCTTGATGCTGTGCTTGTGGCAGCCACGGGAAATATACACGATTCACGGCGTGGTATTGTTAGAACATGCTTTCCCATCCCACTGTTCAGCAAGCAGCAGCAACAAATTCGCACACTCAACACTAACAAAGCATCATATTACAAGAGACATGTCACACCACCTTCAGATGACAACTATGATGAAGCACGGCTCACCAGACTGGGTGCATGTCCATGCACGACCCAACAACGCCCTGTACACTTCATATCTCAAATCATGGATATGGCCGCATCCCGCTGACAGACAGACCCTTCTTTACCTCCACTCTGTCCACTCTACCCTCCCATCACTCCCCTGTCCACTCCACTCTCTCCCACACCCCCTCTGTTCCCAGACAGTACCGATGTTTTTCCTTCAGCTGCCTGCCCTTCGTTCTCCTATGTCTCCTTGAGCGCTCGCGTTAGTTTGTACCAAGGAATGCCGGCCTGTCCACCGTATGTCCCTCCCTGGGCGCCTCTGCCAGTGTTTACCAGGTGTGCGCTAGAGCCACAGCCGTGCGCGAGCAGGGCTCTCTACCTAACGCGTCACTGATACAGGTAGACGCCTCGAGTGACTTATCAAAGTCGATCCCTGTCTGTATCCCTAGCCCATGCAGCACATACAGCACGCCCTCTGTTGCCACATACAACACCCCACCTACCGCACTCCACACCCCATCACAGCTTCGGTGTCTCAGCCAACGTTTGCCTGGTGCGCGCTAGAGCCACAGCAGTACGCGAGCAGGGCTCTCTGCCTAACGCTTGACTAATAAATGCTGACGCCTCAAGCAGCTTGTCAAAGTCTATCCCCGTCTCGATGCCCAGCCCATGCAGCAGGTACACCACGTCCTCAGTTGCCACGTTGCCCGACGCCCCCTTGGCGTAGGGGCAGCCGCCTAAGCCTGCTATGGAAGAGTCAACAGCCGATACGCCCATCTGTGTGTGGAGAGTGGGAGGATGGGAGGGTGGGATGAAGGAAGGGCAGCAGGCAAGCGTGAGCCAGGTGACAGCAGGCAAGCAAGCACATGTGTCTCGCTACCCAGCCCATGCAGCAGGTACACCACATCCTCTTTTGCCACATTTCCCGACGCCCGCTTGGCATAGGGGCAGCCGCCCAACGAGCTATTGACGATTCTACAACCGATACGCCCATCTATGTGTGGAGGAAGCAGGGGGTGGGGGAGGAAGTGTTGTTGAGACGCCATAAGAACCACCGAGACCCAGCACTCGCATGCTAACCACCTGCAGTGCTGCCAGCTCACCTGCAGAGCTGCTAGTATGTTGGCGGGTGCCTGCCTGCCCGTATGTGTCATGGAAGTGGACAGCGGGGGAGGGGGGTGAGTCAGCAATCACCAGCATCCATCAGACAAATCAGCAAAATCAGCTCACCTGCAGAGCAACTAGTACGTTGGCAGGTGTCTGCCTGCCCTTAGGTGTCGTGCAAGTGGGCAGCAAGGGAGGGGAGTGATGGGCTGGCTGAGAGGGTCAGAGCCCACAGCCATGCCAAGGGAATACCAGCCGCCTTACCTGTAAAGTCACTAGCACGTTGGCGGGTGTCTGCCTGCCCGTATGTGTCGTGCAAGTGGACAGCGAGGGAGGGGGGTGATGAGTCAAATTCCAGATCACAGGCAGCCATCTGATTCGGCAGCAGCAATAGAAGCACACTGAACCACCTGCAGTGCTACTATAATTTTCGCGGGTGCCTGCCCGTAGTTGTCGTGGAATTGGACAGCGAGAGAGGGGGGTGACAGGTCAACTCAAAGCATGGCAACCACACAGGATACAAGCGCACCGACTCACCTGTAATGCAACGAGGATGTCGGCGAGGGGCTGGCCGTAGGTGTCATGGAAGTGCACAGCGAGGGAGGAGAGTGAGGAGTCTGTGCGCCAAGGGAATGGCAGCCGCCTTACCTGCAGTGCTACTAGGATGTTCGCGAGCGCTTGGCCGTAGGTGTCGTGGAAGTGCACAGCGAGGGAGGAGGGTGGCATGCACGCACACACCGCGTCCAGCATAGGTGCCACCGAGCCTGGCGGGCCGGGAAGAAAGGAGGATGGGGAGGGGGGGAGGGAGGGGGGAAGGAGGAAGGACGGGGTTGTTGTGCCTCTGTGTGTGCATGGATGCAGCGAGGGAGGAGGGCGGCATGCATGCACACACAGCATCCAGCATAGGTGCCACCGAGCCTGGTGTTTTGGGGGAGCGACGGGGGGCGAAGGGGGGGGGGGGAGAGGCGGGGCTGTGTGTCTCCCCTTCGTGCATGGATGCATGCAGCACGCACACATGGCATCCAGCACAGGTGCCACTGAGCCTGGTGGCGTGCGGGCAGGGGCTCAGTGGGGGGGTGGAAGGGGCACGAGAAAAGCATGGGTGCTGTGTGTGTCTGTGTGTGCACGAAGCAGCAAGGGAATGCCCCTGTCCCTCCATATATCCTCCGATACAGCCCTACAGCACCGAACAACACCGCATAGTACTGCACACCACCATTTTGGACCTTACCAGGAGTGAGGACCCTGATAGAATCAACCAGGGAGCCGTAGCATCACCCCATGGCGTGCAGTGAACAGATGATGGCACACGTACCCACAGAACCTCACAGCACCGCACCGCACTGCAACACTTTGAAGCTCATCAGGTGTGCCGACACTACTGGTATCACCCAGAGATACCTCAGAGCACCCCACGTGCAGTCGCAGGTGAGAGACTCACAGCACCTCACAGCACCACTATCAACCCTCACCAGGAGTGCCGATGCCGATGGTATCACCCAGAGACACTTCATAGCACCCCATGTCGTGCAGAGCCTTGGCCACCCTCGCCACTGCTGCTGGCTCCACGTGGCCCTCATAAGGGCACGCCACCGCACATGACACGTATCTGAGAAGGCAATGGTAGGAGGGGGACGGAAGGAGTGCTTGTTGGGCGTCTCACAACATTGGCCACTCTCGCCTCTGCTGCTGGCTCCACTCATATGGGCACCCCACCGCACATGACACGTAGCCGCACATGACACGTAGCCGCACATGACACGTAGCCGCACATGACACATAGCCGCACATGACACGTAGCCGCACATGACACATAGCCGCACATGACACATAGCCGCACATGACACATAGCCGCACATGACACATCGCTGTAGATAGAATGGTGAGGAGTGGAGTGGATGGAAGCGGGAGAAGTGTTATAAGGCGCCTCAGAACATCGGCTAACCCGTTACCCATTCTCTCCACTGCTGCTGGGGCTATGTCGCCTTCATAAAGACAGCCCACCACATATGATATATCGCAACCCAAATGGGGAGGGGACAAGAGTGGACGACGAGTGAGGTGATGGCGGGAGTGGATAAGAGCGAATGGCGAAACATCGTGTAGCTAAGTATGGAACATCGTGCAGCGAATGGTGAAACATCATGGTGAAACACGGTGAAACATCGTGTGCACAAGTATGGAAGGAACACGGAGCGAGGAGGAAGGACCTCGGAGTATGGTGGAATGGCACTCTCTCTCAACAAGCTTGCATCTCTCGAGCCATTTCTCCCCAGCGGCATTCATCCTCCCCCATACTCCACTCACCCTCTCACGGGAATGCCTCTGTCCCTGGCAGCATCGCACACCGCTCTGTACCGCTCCAAGCTCTCCTCCACCGAGCAGTTGATGTTCTTCTTGGAAAACGCCTCAGAGGCCGCAGCAAAGACCGCCACCTCCTTGGCCCCTGCTGCCACGGCGTTCTCAAGGCCTCTTAGGTTGGGCGTTAGCACGGGCAGCTTGGTGCGCCCGTTGCCCTGCACTCTCTGCATCACCTCCGGTGCGTCTGAGAGCTGCAGGAAGTGGGGGGGGGGGCAGGAGAAGCGAAATAAGGGAAAGGAGGTGGGGGAAGAGGCGTAAGGACGGGCAGCTTGGTGCGGCCGTTGCCCTGCACTCTCTGCATCACCTCCGGTACGTCTGAGAGCTGGGGAGGGAGAGGCGGGGAGCGGGGTGGGTGGAGGGGCGAGCAGGGTCGACACTGAAGGCGATTCGAACGGCCTCAGCGGGTGACAGACAGTCAGCACGAGTGGCTTGGTGCGCCCGCATGGAGATGAGACTGAAACAGGAAGTAACCGACCCCAGCATTTTAACCGTCCTGCGTAACCGACCTGCGTAACCGACCTGCGTAACCGACCTGCACACCCTAATAAAAGGTGCGCCAGCATGGAGATGAGACTGGAACAGGGAGTAATGATGAGAACAGGGGAATCCGTTACAGCCTACACAGGGAACCACGGGCAGCCCAGCAGCCATAAGTCTGTGGATAAGCTCCATTTTCACCCCCACCGGCATCTGCTGCCTCTCATACTCGTTATAAGCAGCCGCAGCACTAAGAGCACTCACCTGGGGGATCCACTTGGGGGACACGAAGCTGGTAGCCTCCACAACGGGCAGCCCAGCGGCCATGAGTCTATGGATGAGCTCCACCTTCACCCCCACCGGCACCTGCTGCCGCTCGTTCTGCAGCCCGTCCCTGGGTCCCACCTCCACCACCTTCACATACCGCGGCAGCCACCGCAGTGGCTCGGGAACTCCACTCGCACTGGCTTTCCTGCCGCTGCTGGCACTGATGGCACCGGTGCCAACACTGTCCATGCTGCTGCCGTTGCCGCTGCCATCTCTGCTTTGAGTGCCGCTCTCCCTGCGCTGCTCCCCGCGGGGGCTGTACTCCATCCGCTGCTCCCCTCTGGGACTGAACTCCCTGCACTGCTCCCCTGGGGGGCTGACGACCACCTTCTGCGTATCCCCTCGCGGGCTGAACCCCCTGCGCTGCTGCTGCCCGCGCGGGCTGTTCTCGCAGCTGCTGGTGGCGGCTGCTGCCGCCTCGTGCAGCTCTCGCCACCATGCAGCGCCGCCCAGCCCCGTGCCAGAGCCCGCCGCGAATTGGATCGCCTGCCAGCTGCCACCCCTTCCTAGCAACGACTGCACGCTGCTGCTGCTGAAGCTACTGCTGCTGCCAAAGCTGCTGCTGCTGCTGCTGCTGCTGCTCATGCTTCTCGATAGAGGCAACTGTGAAAGAAACGAGATGCCCTGAAATGGAGAGGCGTGCACGTCTAGACCAGCGCACACGTGGCTGACTCCTATTGGACCTGCTAAGGCGGCGGTCGTTGCTGCAGCCGTGGTTGCCGCTGCTGCTGTGGCTGCTTGGACCGCCATAGAACTGCAAGGGCTCGTCGTATGGTGCGAGCTGTAAGCGTCTAGGTGGTGGGGACTGTGAGAGTCGAGATGATGAGAGCCCAGGTGGTTAGGGCTGTCAGCGTTTAAGCGGTTAGGGCTGTGAGCGGTGGACGCAGGAGGAGTCGGCACCACCATGTTGGACGACACTGGTGCTTGCTGTGACGCATGAGGGGCTTCCAATCCCATCGCGCCACGTGTCGTCCAACGAGCTGCGAAGATCTGAGCTGCTGGTCTGGTGGAGGGGATGCGCGCGCTGGAAGCAGCGGGACGTAACGCGAAAGTGGGGGGGGGAGACGAAAATTCACATGAGAAAGCTTATGACAAAACCGCTTACATTCACGTCAGAAGGCTCACGACAAAGCTATGAAATTCGGCTTCTTAATATCCCCACAAATGGGAGTCGCGGCCGCCAATGACTCTACTGAGATACGACAATGCGTTCGTACCTCGTCCCTGAATAATATCCGAAATAAAGTCGTCTGCCGGCTGTTCTTAAGAGCGTGTCGGCGCGACCCATAATTACCCTGTGCGCGTGGTCAACAAACGATTCGGCTCGACTATGAGAGTCCTGATGTAGCTACTATGGGGGATGCAGGCGAGTTCGCACATGCTACACGAGTCGCTAGTGTAACTAACGGCTACCAGGGGATTCGCAGTCACAAACCTACACCGCACGGAACCGAAATCGAAGAGACAGGCCGTGAGAAACTGCATCTTACGCTTTATGATTGAACAAGGATGAGTTGGTGTGGCTTGATTGGGCAGGAGGTTGACAGGGAGCGTTGGTACCGGGAGATGAGAATTTCATCAGGAGGTTGCACTAGAGTTCAATGGCGAGACTGGATGGGAGGCATGCTGGTGTGGCTGGTGTGAGGTGGAGGGATTCGCAACCCAGTGACTGACAGTGGGAATCTGTTGAGCAATTGAGGCGACAACTCCAATGCTACCTTTAGCGCGTACAAACGTAACCGCTGAAGCCCGAGAAGCCCAGGAGGGTTCGTATGGTCTGGACCTTTTGAATCTCAATCGTCGAAAGTCACGAGATTCCCGATTTCCCTGCCTTGCCAAAGCCTGCTGACAGGATGATGATGATAAAGGAGTCACGCCGAAGCGGTTTGTGGTCCTAGGAACGTCATCGCACCTACCTACAGCAATTCCTCGTAGGCGCCACGTCAGAAGGAAGTTGACTGGCGTGGCCCACATAGGGGCGGAAGGGTGGGATGCTTGTGCTACGACTTGCGGTATACACAGCCCTCAAAATGCGGTGTCGATAAATTATATATACCAACGAAGCATCTCCCATCGCGTATTGCGCGCATCTTTGGAGGCTTAGCCATTCCACGTGTAAAATTCCGATTCGCCTGAACGTCACATGAAGCATTGCCGATCAACCAATGTGCAGTCACTGCGTCTGACCTGGACATTGGAGTGATTTACCTGCCCAGAAAACATCTTCGACGGGCAGATACAGAATCCTTTGTTAGACGGACGGATCGATGACAGGTGCGGATCGACCAAACCAACGGCAAAACTTCTCGTGCTGACCGAATTTCTGAATCCACAGCAGAATGGGACTCTGGTCAGAAGAACTCAGCATCCAGGATCCAGGATTCAGGGCAGGAGGGCCGATGCCTGATGGAGCCCTCTCCCCTCTGCTTCGCCTTGGGTTTGCCTTGCCCAGCTCTGCTCTGCTCTTTCCTGACTGGGTCTTTTATTCAGTTGCATTTCCCATTTTCATCACATTTCTTGTTCTTTCAAAATCTTCTGGCTTTTGGGTGCTAACCAGAGCCCCAGTCCTCATAATCAGCTTTCCGTTTCCCGGTTGATAAATCAGCCGTTCAGAGAGCTGATTCGCGTGAGCGTGAGCCGCTGCATTTCCTCCTGCATTCTTGCACCAGCCAGCCATGGCGTCCGCCTCCGCGTCCCTCCTTCAAAAGGCATTCCTCACCGGATCTCCCCTTAAACTCTCCGCATCCTCCGGCACCGCTCTCGCAGCCACCAATGTCTCCCTCGCAGCGCCATTCCGGAAGACTCCAGTCGTCCGGGCCATGTCCGCTGGCAGCCAGGTCGGCGAGATCGCGAGCGTCAAGGCCCGTCAGATCATCGACAGCCGCGGGAATCCGACGGTGGAGGTTGATCTGATGACTTCCAGGTCCAGCACGGTTTTCCGCGCGGCCGTCCCCAGCGGAGCGTCCACGGGGATCTACGAGGCCCTGGAGCTCCGCGACGGCGATAAGAGCAAGTTCGGTGGGAAGGGCGTTCTCAAGGCCGTCGCGAATATTAATAACATCATCGCTCCTACGCTGATCGGTCTCGACCCGAGGTAAATCACACAGGATCGATCCTGCAGAAAACAGAGCAGAAATCATTGGAACAGATCGGTCTCGAAATTATTCTGAGCGGAACTACAGAAAACAGAACTGCAGAGACGGCAATGCGCGTTGGATTTCAGCTCCAAAGCCTTCTTAAACGTCTTCAATCCCCCTCGTCATACCCTCTCCTCGCGTCTCTCCTCTTCTTTCTACAGGAATCAGCCCGCCATCGATAGTCTCGTGCTGGAGCTCGTCGGCACGCCCAACAAGTCGTTACTCAAAGCCAATGCCATCCGCGAACCGTCCCTCCCCCCATCCCCTTGCCCTCTCCTCTTTCCCCCTCCCTCTCCTTCTTACCAGGGATCAGCGCGCCATCGACTCTCTGATGCTGGAGCTCGTCGGCACGCCCAACAAATCGTCACTCAAAGCCGATGCCATCCTCATACCACCCTTTTCCCCTCCCCCCTTCCCCCGTTTCCCCCATCCCCACCCCCCAGGGACCAGCGCGCCATCGACTCGCTCATGCTGGAGCTGGACGGCACGCCCAACAAGTCGTCGCTGGGAGCCAACTCCATCCTCGGCGTCTCCCTCGCCGTCGCCCACGCCGGTGCTGCCGCCAGCTCCGTTCCCCTCTACAGGTTTGCTCCGCTATAAGCATACGCCTCAACCCCACGTCACATTGCCTCAATAAATACACCCACGATTCGTCTACTCCCCTTGACATGCCACGGTGCCATGCAGCATCCGTCTTGCTGGTCTCTCCACTGCCGTAACCAGCCATCTCTCCTACCCGCCATGAACGCCGTCAGCCCTGTCCTCATCTTCCCTCCCCCGCTTCCCCCCTCCTCCCCCGGCATCTCGCCACCCTGGCAGGAGTAGATCAGCTGGTGATGCCCGTGCCAGCGATGAGCATCATCAACGACGGCAGCCACGTTCCCCCCCGCTCTCGTGTTCCCCCCCAATCACCCCAGGCACCTCGCTTCCCTGGCGGGCGTGCTGCAGCTCGTCGTGCCCGTGGCCGTGCCCGCCACGAGCGTCGTCAACGCCGTTCTGGCTGCTCCTCGTCCTCGTCCCCGTCATCCGCGCCTCAAACATTCGCTCTTTCCCCTCTCCCCAGGCATCTCGCCACCCTGGCGGGCGTGCAGCAGCTGATCATGCCCGTGCCGGCCAAGAATGTCATCAACGGCGCTCATTCCACCCATGCCTCCATCTCCCCTCTCCCCTCTCCTCTCCCTCCCCAGGCACCTCGCCACCCTGGCGGGCGTGGAGCAGCTGATCATGCCCGTGCCGGCCATGAATGTCATCAACGGCGGCAGCCACGCGGGCAACAAGCTGGCGATGCAGGAGTTTATGATCCTGCCCACCGGGGCCTCGTCCTTCTCAGAGGCGATCCAAATGGGCTGCGAAGGTGAGAGGCGATGAGATGTAGAGGTGTGAATGCTGTAAGCCTAGGCCACTCAAGCAGAGGTTTGTCGCTCCTGAACCTTGGTGTCCCCCATCCTCCTCTACTCTGAACGACTCGAGTCAGGTCTCCCTTATCTCTTCCACGCATCACCACCAACCCCTTCTCCAGTGTACCAGGTGCTGAAGGGCATCATCAAGAAGCGGTACGGGCAGGACGCGTGCAACGTGGGCGACGAGGGCGGGTTTGCGCCCAACATTCAGGACAACAAGGAGGGGCTCGTGCTGCTGGTCGACGCCATCGATAAGGCGGGGTACACCGGCAAGGTGAGGGCAAGGGGACCTTGGCTTGGTGAGGGCTGGGTGGGCAAGGTGTGGGCGAGGGGATACGTGTGTGATGGCGCTTACATATGGCAGGGTGCACCGGGAGGTGGGGTGAATAGGTATGTATGGCACAGATTAAGTGGGGTAGAGCATCAAGGGGGGGGGAGGGGTTCAGGGAATAAATCCTAAATACGAGGGGTACAAGGAGCATGGATGCCTCAGCTTTCGAGCTCGGACCCGGGATGACCAGTACAACCATATGTGGAACTCTTGAGTGAACTCAAAAATGTGTGGAACTTGATTCAATTCCAAAACACAACTTAGTGTCGCACCTACTCACCATGCTCCTCTCCGCATCCCACATCTCAGCCCCGCCCCGCATCACTTTCCTCCATGTTTTCTCATCGCCACCCCTTACCCCCCAACCCCAACCCAACCCCATCCCCACCCCCGCCCTCCCTCCGGCTTCTACCCCGCTTTAGCAGACCACAGGTACGACCTCAGCTTCAAGCACAAGCCCAACGACAGCAACCCCTCTCTATCCATCCCCACCCCTCCGCTGCTTACTTTCTCCCTCCCCTGTTTCTCCTCCGTCTCCTCCTCTCCATCAGGTGAAGCTGGGCATAGACGTAGTGGCATCGGAGTTCTACACCAAGGACCACAAGTACGACCTCAACTTCAAGCAGAAGCCCAACGACGATATGAACCCCCCTCTCCACCCCTCTCCGCCCCTCTGTTTGTACCTCTCTTCCCCCTCAGGTGAAGCTGGGCATGGACGTGGCAGCATCGGAGTTCTACACCGCGGACCACAAGTACGACCTCAACTTCAAGCAGAAGCCCAACGACGGCACCGACGTCATCACCGGGCAGCAGCTGGCAGAGCTCTACGAGAGCTTCGTTAAGGAGTTCCCCATCGTCTCGATCGAGGACCCCTTCGAGCAGGACGACTGGGTGAACTGGGCGGCGCTGAAGGCGCTGCTGGACGTGCAGATTGTCGGGGACGACCTGACGGTCACAAACCCCAAGAGGATTGCGGATGCCGTGCAGAATAATGCCTGCAATGCGCTGCTGCTCAAGGTAAGGAGTTGCCCAATGGTAGCTGGTAGGGATGTTGTGCACTCAAGGCGCTGCTGGACATGCAGACTCTGGGGGATGATCTCACGGTCACAAACCCTAAGAGGATGGCTGATGCTGTTCAGATCAACGCGTGCAATGCGCCCCTGCTAGATGTAAGATGGTGCTGAAGGTAAGGGGGGGGCTGAGATTCCATTGGCTTGAATACAGTGGCACAGCTGCTGGGGTGTGGGTGACAATTGGTTCCTGACAAGTCCTCCTCTTGTCAAACGCCCCCTCTTCCCTCTCCCCCCCGTCCAATTTGTGTTCGTGCAGGTGAATCAGATCGGCAGTGTGACGGAGAGCATCACAGCAGCGCAGGACGCCAAGGCAGCAGGGTGGGGGGTGATGGTGTCCCACCGCAGTGGTGAGACGGAGGACACCTTCATCGCCGACCTCTCTGTGGGCCTTTCTGCCGGCCAGGTGCGTGCTAGTCGTCTTGAGGCACCTCAAAGGCAGCAGGATGGGGGGTGATGGTGTCACAGCAGTAGGTGAGGCTTGGGTGTATTTCGACCTTGACATGGATGGGTGTGAAAATGCGCTGGTCAGCCAACTGTCTCCATCTCTGCCTCCTCTGGCTGCCTCACTACGTGCACAGATCAAGACAGGAGCGCCATGCCGCAGCGAACGCCTGGCCAAATACAATCAGGTATGTTACCACATTGGGTAATCGGTTTGCCTTACATTGGTTGGTTAGTATGGTCGCTTGTGTGTTCCATCCCAGAATTTATTGCCTACGAATTTGCACTGCTTTATAATTTATGCATTGGCAGTTGCTGAGGATCGAGGAAGAGCTTGGATCTGCTGCGATTTATGCTGGAGAGAAGTTCAGAAGCCCATGATCAGGAGGATATGCTGCCACTGTTTTACTTGCCGGCTGTATATGAGAGTGCATGGAACCAAAGGGCAAAGCCCGATGGTTTTCAATTTGCCCTCCAGAAATCGGAGGGGAGTGTATGTGGTTGGAAAAGCAGACTTCAAGCCCATAGTGAAATCTATGTCACATTTCCACATAGGTATGAATCAGTTAAGTCACCAAGGATTGTTGGTGTTATGAATGAACGAGCAGAATAGCGCGGAAATTAATGACGAGGTGTTCAATCACTGAATGACGATACAGGGAATGGCAAGCTTAGATATAGAAACACCAGAGCCAGTCTAACCATGAGATGGGACAGTTCGGGAAAGAGATCGAAGGGTCTCGAAGTGACGAAGCGAGGCTCGGAGTGTCAAACATATATATATGTTATATTTGTGTAGACTGTATAGGTTCGAATCTTAGAGTGTACAACACTTAGGCTTATACCCTTGTACGTTTTTCTCTCGATATTCAATCCTCGTATCACACTTGGTAGGTAGGTCCGCCGCCCACGCTTCCGCCCTAGGCCCTCGTCGCGCCGCCCCTAGCCCGTCGCGCCCGTCCTAGCCGGCCCCCTGAGCCGTTCGTGCCCGTCCTAGCCGGCCCCCTGAGCCGCCGCGCCTGATCCTAGCCGGTCCCCTGCGCCATTCGCGCCCGTCCTAGCCGGCCCCCTAAGCCATCGCGCCCGTCCTAGCCGGCCCCCTGAGCCGTCGCGCCTGTTCCTAGCCGGCCCCCTGCGCCGTTCGCGCCTGTCCTAGCCGGCCCCCTGAGCCGTCGTGCCCGTCCTAGTCAGCCCCTGCGCCGTCACGCCCGTCCTAGCCGCCCCCCCTGAGCCGCCGCGGCCGTTCTAGCCGGCTCCCAGCGCCGCCGCGCCCGTCCAAGCCATCGCGCCCGTCCCTAGCCGGCCCCTCGCGCCCCCGTCGCGCTCTCCCCGTACCGTACAGGAGTTTCTAGAGGCCGTCGTCAAGCGCTATTCCACCCCCCCTGCTGCCTCTGTAGGTCGCCTGATCCTGCCGATGCTCTTCCCTGACCTTGCGTCCTTCCCTACTGTCGCTGACCTAGCCGCTCACCTGCGCACGATAGATGCGACCTGGCGTGCTGCCTGCACTGAGACCCAGCTTAGAGCCTTCCAGCCGCCCCTCTGCTCTGCCCTCTACCTGCTTGCCACCCGCCTCCCTGATCGTCTTGCTACTGCGCGCGACCACTTCCTTAGCACCCACCCTGGTGAGCTCACTCTCACTGACTTTGTCGACACCCTGACTGCCATAGAGACCCGTCAGCGCTCTATCGCCCAGACCAGCGGTACTGTGCCGGTCCCTATCTTTCAGAGTTGTGCCCCCGCTCAGTGCACCTTCTCCGACGGTTCAGTCGCTGTGGCTGAGTCCGCAGCTGCAGCGCAGATCTGTCCCGGGAAGGGCCGCCGCCCCAAGGCTGGGCGCGGCGGTGGGGGTGGAGGTGCAGGTGGAGGTGGTGGTGGAGTCGGGTCGCCTAGTGGTAGCGCTGACAAGGGGACCCTGACAGGTGCAACCGAGCAGCCTCCTCAGCAGCCGCAGGTGTCGCAGCCGGACACGCACCAGCTGCAGTAGCAGAGGCGGGCGAGTGGCCTCCCGCCCGGGTGGCCTGGCGCTGGTGGTGGCGGTGGACGTGGTGGTCGTGCGCGTGGTGAGCTGCCGGGTGGCGGGTCGGGTGACGCGCACTGTCAGTACCAGCTCCAGACCGGTCCTCGCCGTGGTTCTGTTTGCGGTATGATCGGTCACACCTCCGTCCGCTGTTTCCGTTGCCTGGACGACCTGTTTCGTCAGCGCTTCGACCTCCCCGACTGGCATAGCTTGTTTCGCCGTAATGTTCAGATCTTTGATATGGACATGGATGAGATTGTTGCTACCCTGCATGTGATGTATGCTGATGACTCTAGTGTGACTGCTTCTTACTACCCCTTGTTGCCTAGTGTAGGGATGTCTAGTCTCGCGAGTACATCAGGCATTGGGTTAGTGCTGGGAGGACGCAGGCCGGTGGTCCTTACTGGGCACACAGACGCTTTTTGGGCAGACGACGCTGAGACCCTTAGTTCCTCGCAGGGCTACTGCTTTAGCCTTGGTTCAGGTGCTATCTCATGGAGAGCTACTCGCTCCTAGTTTGTTGCCCAGTCTAGCTGTGAGGCCGAGATCTACGCCGGTGCCATGGCGGCACAGGAGCTCCACCGGCTGACCTTCCTGCTCACTGACTTAGGTGAGCGGCCTAGCTCTGCGCCAGTCCTGTACGCTGACAACATGGCCATGATGCTCTTGTGTCAGGAGCCTCGACTTGAGGGCAGAGCAAAGCACATCCAGCTGCGGTACTTCCTCCTGCGCGAGCTGCAGCAGCGTTGCGAGGCTCGCGTAGTACACTTGACCTCTGGTGCCAACACAGCTGATATCTTACGAAGGCCCTTGCGCCTAAAGATCATCAGCGGCACTGTTTAGAGGTAGGCCTTGTTCTTGTTACCTCTCACCTACTAGGGCCTTGATTATGTACTGACCTTTATATATACTTTTGTTTATTCTTGACTGGCCTTGTGGCCTCTCCCAATGGCTGGACTAGTAGTGCCGCCCTGGCCTTGCCCTTGTACTGGTCTGTACTTGTTTGACTGATCTTTAGACCCTTGACTCAGAGGTTGGACTAGTAGTGCCGCCCTAAGTTGCCGTTTCTCTCATCAGGAACTGCACCTATGCAGTCTAGGGGGTGTGCCAAACATATATATAGGTTATGCTTGTATAGACTGTATAGGTTCGTATCTTAAAGGGTACAATACTTAGGCTTATACCCTTGTACGTTTTTCTCTCGATATTCAATCCTACGTTAAGTCGGAGAACTCCCGAAGGTCGAAGTAGAAGGTATGGAGAGGCCGAGGCGGTTCTGTCAGAAAGGTCCGAAACCGTCCCGAGGCTTCGGGTGTGTTCGAGCGTACTCGATAGCAGTACCGCTCGGTAAGGAATAAAAAATTCCTTACACCACCCCCCCCTTTAGCGAAGGTGATCTATATCAGCCACGTGCTTGCGGGCCAAAAAAATTCCCAAGTATCGAAGGTGATTGTATCTGGTCCGAGGGCACCCACGTGTCGTCCTCACTGATACGATTGGTCCATCGTATCAGGAAGTCAACGTGTCGTCCTTGGCCGTCGATACAAATCCTATGGCTCAAAATCTTCGAAGGCTCGATGGTCGTCTCTGCAGGTGGCCGTACATCCGGGACCAATCGCTGTTGAGCGATGTCCGATGTATCAGGTATGAAAAGTCGCAACAGGCTTACGTGGAACTTGTTGTGAATACGCCAATCGTCAGGTAGGCGCAACTGTGCGGTCACCGGCATCACCATCTTCATGATCTTGAATGGGCCACAGAAACGTGGTCGTAATTTTGTCGGTAGTGGCAATCGTAAATTCTTGGTGTCCAAAAGGACTAGTTGCCCTGATGCCATTGTAATATCCCGTCGATGTAAATCCGCATACCGTCGAGCAGTAGCGTTCGCCTTGCGAATAAGTTCGACAGCTTTATCTCGGGCAGTCTGTTATTCTTAGACGAACTGCTGCAATCGTGGTACTTGACTCTCGACATTGGTGGAGATAGGTACTGTGGGGTCCATCCCGTAATTGAGATAAAACGGGGAGTGATTAGTCGTGGCTGAGGGCGTGTTGTTGTGGGAGAATTCCAACATGGGAAGAGCGTTCTCCCATTCATTTCGGTCGAGGCAGTTTGTTCGAATCAGCTGCTCCATCGTTTGGTTTGTCCTTTCTGTCTGGCCGTCTGTTTGGGGATGATACGCGGATGAGAATTGCAGGTACGTGCCGTACCGAGCTCACGTGTCCTGCCAAAAAATTGACGTGAACTTCGGGTCTCGATCGCTAATGATTGCTGCTGGAATCCCGTGGAAGGTGAACAACGGTCGAGATGAACAATCAAGCGGTTTCTTCGGCTGTGAGGGTTGTACGACATGGTGCGAAATGCGCCATTTTCTTCAATTGGTCGACGACAACCAATACTGCATCGTTTTCTCTGGATTCGGCTGGTAGACCTGTGACGAAATCCATCATCACGTGTTGCCATGGGCGTTGAGGTGGCTCAAGGGGCTGCAACAGCCCTGCTGGTCGCTGATATAATGATTTCATTCGTTGGCAGATCGGACACGCGGCCACGTAACGCTGCACGTCCGGCACCATATCTGGCCAGTAATAAAACCGCTGCAACTCCTTCAGAGTTTTATCAACCCCGAAATGTCCCGATAAATTTGAATCGTGGACTTCTTGAATTAGTAATTCGCGAAGTAGACGATAACTTGGGACCCAAATTCGATCGGTTCCGCTTCGTAAGTAATAGACACCCTTTCCGTGTAATGATTGGGAGATGGCCGTCATTTACGAAGAAGGGGTCAGTCGAATACCCGTGGGTAAATAGTCCACTCAGTAGCGGGTTTCTCTGGGCGACTAGTACTGCTGCGAGTTGGGCAGACGGTCTGGAGAGGGCATCGACAATATTGTTGGCGCCCTTTTTATACGTGATCTTGTACGTGAAGTTGGACTCCAAATAATCCAGCTAGCGTACCTGCCGCGGGTTGAGATTCGGCTGCGCTCTCAGGTGCTATAGAGATTTGTAATCGGTTCGCACCGTCACGTCTGCTCTTGTCAGGTAGCACCTCCAAATTTTGAACGCGTGGACAATCGCAAGCATCTCCTTGTCGTGTACAGGGTAGTTGCGCTCATCAGATTGCATTTTCCGAGACTAGTACGCGATTGGTTGAAGACCATTGCCGAAATCTTGCATGAGCACGGCTCCGATGGCGATGTCACTTGCGTCGGCAAGGACTTCGAAGGGCTGTTCCGGGTCAGCGATGTGAAGTACTGGTGGCGACATTAAAAGAGCTTTTAATGCCTCGAACGCAGCTTGCTGATTCTCCCCCCACTCGTAAAAAGTCCCATTCTGTAGTAGGTCAGTTAGAGGTCCAGTTAACCCCGCCATGTTGGGTATAAACCCGCCGCACGTACAGCGACGGAACAATCTGTCCACATGTTGGCCATTAACTGGACAAAATCAGAGCCCATGAGAAAATGATCAGGTTTTTTATAACCCGGTTTTAAGGTTCTAGTTGCCACTGTTGTAAGCTTGTGTGACAAATGAAAACTTGTCCAAAAAACAAACAAGAACAGAACATAGCACAACGAAGATCACAAGTGGTACACTCGGACAGAATGTTCCCGGGATGAGCGACATTTAAAATTATCGATATCCATACCAGGTCCACCTCCCCTTAACCCTACTTCCTGCTCTGATCCCTCCTAGGCATAGTGTCTATAAGAGCCTTGCACATGCTAGCCCTAATGCTGTTCCATGCCTCGTGCACCTGCTCCCAAGTTTGCAGCATGCCTATGGGGGGTTGCTCATGCTTGGCGAGCTGCTTGATGGATTGGGGTCGGGGGAGGAATAGGGTCATTGTAGGACCGCGGAATCTTGCTCTTCTAGCCACTCCTGAACGATCCTGCACTTGGGTTTGGGGTCGTATAGTGTACTGGAACGTCATGCCAGAGATGGTCAAATAATAGGAATCAAGATTTTGAGCCACCTCGTCCTGCAATATGCTGTGATAGAGTTGGCCATCTGTGCGGCCATCAATCTTGCACATGTAACTAGGCACATCAGACATTATACAGACTCAAACCACGTCTGGCCCGCCCCCATGCTTCACAGTCTACTTCACTGATGCCCCTAGAAAGCAGCGCCTTCGCGAATCCATGCGTGAGTGTGGCTATCCAAGCAATATCGAGTGATCTGAGTCATGTTCGACCAGATCACCCGCTTCCAGTCATCAGAGTCCAGTCTAGGTGGGCTCTGGCGAAATTCTGTATAGTCGCACATATTGCGCGCTAATAATTGAGGCTTGCGCAATAGTTGTACAGCAACTAACCCAGTCACCCAGAGGGCATTTCGTACAGTGTGAGGGTGACCTTAACAACGTGATTCGTTCCAGCGGTTATGCAGCCTAAATGCTCGTCAACGCGACACCTAACATGATGGTGTGCACGAAAGTGCACATGTATCACGCTGAGAGCAGTTGCGGTCGACCTAAAGAGTGGACATTTTGCCTAGCTACTAGACGACTACTACTGTGACTAGCCTTCAGAGTGTTTTTTTGGTCGATTCTCTGCCCTATTCCTAGCGTTCGTGCGATCGGTCGAAAACTCAGACTTTGGCGCCAGAGGCTTATGATCTGGTATCTCTGACGCGAAGCAAGCGGGCGCGTGGTTACTGGAGGATCACGGGGTAAGGGGCATGCACTAGCAAAAGTCTGAGCAACTTTGCTAGCTCGTGCAAAGAATGCTCGACGGAAACAGATCTAGTCTTTTACTCGGGTAGTATTTGTCCGCATCGACCGTCGAGCGTTAAAGCTTGTACTCGTTATTAGCGATTCGATATGGGCTAGAGTTTGTATATCTGGAGGTGCATCAATTGTTTTTGCATAATGTCCACAGATTGTGAATGATTCATTTATACTTGTCAAAACATCATGAACTTGCTAAACATTGCCATTTTGGGGACAGATTGTTCCGTCGCTGTAATTCATAAAACCCAGAAATGATTGCAGCTGCTGCAGATTTGTTGGCGGTTTCCACTCCTGAATAGCCCAGAGTTTTTTCGGGTCCATTTGAATTCCCTCCGGGGAGATCACGTGCCCCAGGAACTCCATTTATTGTTTTAAAAACCCGCACTTGGAGCCCTTGGTGATGAGACGATGCTTCTCCAGCCGCTAAAAAGCCGCTTCCAAGTCTTTTAAATGTTGCTCCCGGGTCTTGCTGTAAATCAGGATGTCGTCCTGGTAAATTATCACACATTTGTCGAGTAGATCGCGAAACACCCTGTTCATGGTGTGCTGGAACGTCGAGGGGCGTTCGTTCATCCAAACGGCATCACCGTGTATTCGTAACTCCCGTAGCGAGTACGAAACACGGTCTTGTGGCAGTCGCCCACGAAAACCCGAATTTGATGGTAACCACCACGAAGGTCGATCTTCGAGAAGTAGCGAGCTTCGCGAAGGTTGTCAATCAACTCGTCCGTGCATGGGATTGGGTAGCGTGATTTTATCGTTACCCGATTAAGGGCACAATAGTCCGTACACATGCGAAGTCCGCCGCCCTTCTTTGGGGTGAACAGGATCGGCGCTGCGAACGGGGATGTGCTCGGCCGAATAAACCCTTTTGCCAGCAGGTAGTCAAGTTGGTTCCGTAATTCGTAGAGCTCCGGCTGAGTCAGGCGCCATTGAGTTCGTATAGTAGGCTGCGCGCCCAGCTCCAGCTCGATTTTGTGGTCCTGGGGTTGTTCGGGTGGCAGTCCACTTGGCAAGTCGTCCGGGAAAATCTCGGGATATTCCCAATGATTTTTGCCAAGTCATCCGGGACCGAAGCGCAGAGTTTGTTGATGTCAGTCGCCTCGTTCTGCTCCATTGATTCGGTTAGATGGACGGCGTATAAATCCGCTCCATTCTGACCGCTTGGTTGAGGCACACAACATTGACTCGTGTCGAGGTTGTCTCTGCTTCCAGCCACGTGGGTATTTTTTGCCAGCCTTTTTCGGACTTCACTGTGCACTCGCCTGTCGTCCAATCGATCTGCGGATTGAATCTTCGCAGCCAATCGCGTCCCAACAGCACATCGTAGCCATCGACTGTTGTCGCCAGCATCGGCGCGTTGAAGCCAAAATCTTCGCCACACTTCATTCGAACGACGTGTACTTTGTCGGATCACCAGCGGGGTGCCATCCACCAATTGCGCGTCGATTTCGGGCAGACACTCCAACGATAAGTGTAGTCTTCGTGCTGTCTCTCGATTTATCAGGCTGTGACTCGCACCTCCGTCGATGAATATTTTTATTTTTCTTCCATTGAGTCGTCCCTCCGCCAGTACAGGGTGGTCCACTGGGTCATCCCCCTTATTCAGCCGGGAGCGGTTGATAGCATGTATCGGAACCACTACTCGGTGGGGATGGTGTTTTTCGGGCGATGAGGCAGGGTCAGTAGGGGGCCCGACCGCTACTGACGCTTGGCGTTTCCCGACCTGCCTTCGTCGTTCTTCTTTATCTGCTTCTTTCGGGGGCAATCGTGAGATTGGTGACCCGGCTGGTGGCAGTTGAAACATTGTCCCTTGCAAGAAAATCTTCCATGTGCTCCTTCGCCACTACGTGAATCGTGGGCCGTGGATTCTGGCCACGAAAACGATTTCCCTCCCGGGAACCCGCTCTCGCATACGTCCGATGCGTCGAAAGTGTCTGCGATCCGGACTGTTCGTGAAACGTCGCCGGAGTCGCAGTCGGACCTCGCATTTAATGTCCTGCTTCAAACCCGAAATGAATCGAGCTTTCTTCTCGGAGTCATGCATGTCGGTGATTTGATCGCATAACGCCATGAAGACCGACGCGTAATCCTGGACAGAACTCCACTGGCGCCAGTTGTCCAGCTTCGTGCGTGCGTTGTCCGAGGCGGATATGGCTCGAACCGTTCACGCAGAGCTGTACCCCACGCCTTCCACGTGCGAATCTTGGTCGATCCAAAAATCGCGGTTGACCCTTGGGCAGCAGACCCAAAGTTTCCGAAAAACCCCTGTGTGTCGCCTGCCGAAAACTCCCCCTCCTGTAGAATATCGCCACCAATCTAGCGCAGGTCCCCGCAGTAGTGATACAGCCAGCGAATTTTTAAATCGTCAGCAGTGATCCCAGCGGCATTAAAATAAAGTTCCGCAAAATAACCAGCCCGTAACAGTAGTATTCTTATCTGTGGGGTTGAACGGGGGCGGCATTGTCGGTTTGATCGTCGCTGTCGTCACGATCGGCATAATGCCGGTGCGGCTACAGTAGCGGCTGCTTCTGACCGGCGCTGCTGCCTTGCTTCGGCTGTTGCTGCTGCTGCCACGTCAGCTGCTGCGGCGGCTTCACTGTCCTTGCGCTCCTGTGACACCTGACGTGCGATTTCGTCCAAACGGTTTCGACACGTCCGGTGCTGGCGACCTCCTCTTGGGCGGCAGTTTTCTGACGCGAATCCTCTCGCGCCTGGCGTAACTCGGCAACTTCTGCACGAAGTCGCTCGTTGTCCTCCAGCACTGTAGCCATGCGTGCGTTCATGGCGTTGAACTGCTCCGAAGCTCGTTGAACTGAGCTTGGTCCATTTGGCGAATGCTCCGCCGGGGCAGGGGGAAATCCGTAGTGTGCCTGTACTCAGGTAAGCGCAAACGCTATCGTAGTTGGGCGAATTAATCAGTCTAATTCGCGAGCAACCGCTTTGCAGCTTACGTGAGGGACTTACCCCCCCCCCCCAAAACAACTCACGAAAACGGGTGAGCGAGGAAAGTGGCTCTGAATACCAGGTGTTATGAATGAACAAGCAGAGTAGCGCGGAAATGAATAACGAAGTGTTCACTCACTGAATGACGATACAAGGAATGGCAAGCCAAGATATAGGAACACCAGAGCTAGTCTAACCATGCGATGGGAAGGTTCGGGAAAGAGATCGAAGGGTCTCGAAGTGACGAAGCGAGGCCCGGAGAACTCCCGAAGGTCGAACGAGAAGGTCTGGAGAAGCCGAGGCGGTTCTGTCAGAAAGGTCGGAACAGTCCCGAGGCTTCGGGTGTGTTCGAGCGTATGCGATAGCAGTACTGCTCGTAAGGAATGGAAATTCCTTACAGTTGGCATACATGCTTACTTCAATGTTACCGAACGATTTTTTCGAGGCACTTGGAGTCGTCGTTTGGTGTCGTTCGACGCTGATCACCAACCGAAGTTGTCGCCAACAGGAATATGGACAGGCACGCCGAGTAGACTGGACTCACACTGGTCGCACGGCTCGTCGTATGACTCGGTGCAACTCGTCGCAAACTGCCTTTTGGCAACGCCGAGGAAGGGGCGAGCGAAACCGTCGTGGAGACGTAATCCGCAGAATCGTTTCTCCCTCCACCACTCGGCTACAGTTCCAGACCGAGCCGCTTCTTGCCTTAGCCCTGCGCCGCCCCCAACATCGCCCCCTATGCTTCCGCGACCTGGGCAGCCGCCTTCTTCGAGCCCTTGCCCCCTGTCCGCTCGTGTGCGGTTTGGCGCGTGTTGGCGCTCGGTGCTATCCTGCAAACCCCCAGCCCCCACCAGACCAGACCAGAACCTTTCCGCCTCTTGCTGGCGGCCCTGGCTCGGCGGAATTGCGCCCACATTTTCAGGCCGACGTTCAAACCGACGTTCGCTCGTTCTGTTCGTGCCTCCCCCTCAGTGGCTCCGCCAAAATTTTGGTTCGCACAAAAACCAGCCCGCCACTGCACCAGCCGCCGTCGGACCTTGCTTCCGCACCACTGATTTGCCCCTCCTGCTCCTCCCGCCACCTCAGGGTTCCCCGCATTCGTCCCCCCCCTCACCCCAGACCAGACTGAACCCCGCCACCGCCGAGCTTGAGAAGAACTCCGCCCGCCGCCTGCCCTGACCCTGGGCTGGCCTGGCTGGCTCCAGCGCAGATTGCCCAAGGCAGGCTGCGGGGAAAACGATGCGGGTTGGGGGGCGAGAGAAACAGCAGGCGCGCGGAGATCTCGGGGGAGAGCTCGAGTTGAGTTGAGCCAAGTCTTGCTGGGCGTGTCGAGTTCGAATGGCTCGCCTCGACTCCAGCACTGAACAGAACTGCGCTAGCTGCAGAGCGGAAGCAAACAGCCTGCCTTGTGAGCAAAACTCAGCAATCCTCCCTCCGTCGATTCTGCTGTCTGCTTTCGTCATTCCCACCTCGCTCGTGCTCACCTTCTTTTGCTCCGCCCCGCACCTCGCGTCTGCTCACTGGCCATGCCTTTTTCTTTCGCTACCAGCATCGAAACTACAGTACAGTAGTTGTGACCTGAACGACTTGCCCAGCCTGCTGAGGCTTCATCTGCCTCCATTTATGGGATTCACCATTCTTGCAGTAGCGTCGTCCCTAACTCACTTGCCACCGCCTAGTTCCATTTAGGGTTTGCGCGACCTTGTTGGATGGACTGCAGAGTTAGACTTCTAGGTTAGAGCATCGGCTGGCGGGACATTATGACGAGGCGGGAACCTCGTCCTAGATGGCACTGGTTGATAAGTTTCGTAGTGTTACTATCGTATCCATCTAGAGAGCTCGCGTCTCGACCAAATCCGAGAGAAACTTTTAGATTCCGAGCTTCCGCTTTGGGAAGATGAGGTGCGTTTGCCGTGTCCTGCGACGAAGCCGTCTTAGTCGTGCTTTCTTCACGCATTGCAGCGCTTAAGGATTGCTTCACCACCTGGCCCTAGAAACCGGAGACATTGACGCATCGTTGTGTTCGGCCTTCTTAGATGCTCGTGATCATCGGCGTAGGTTATAAGGAGTATATCTTGCGTACTTGACCGTTGAGTGTGTACCGTACTGTAGAATCGCCAACGGTCAGGCACTTTTCATTGTATCCCTCGACGCTGACGCTTGTTCCGTTCTCTTCTCCGCCTCTCCTGTTTCCACGTGCGATCTCCACCCCCGTCTCCGTCTCCGTCGCCATTTCCATTCTCAGTGGAGTTTACGACCGCTCGTGTCGGAAATCGTGGAGACAACGGACTTGTCGAATCTCAAAGATATTCCCTCGAATATCTCGGGAACATACAAAGGTGTGATCCAGGAAGCTTCTCCGCATCTGACTCCGCTGTTACTCGCCTGTGCGTGAACGAAGACGTGCTAGTTGTCGCCGTGATTTTGTTGTCGCCTAGAAAATGATCAGACGTCTGACTCATGGCGGCTTCCTCGTCGCAGGCACGTGGGAGGTGGCGAGGAACTCGTCGTCGTCGCGATTCCCGGACCTTCAGAAAACTCTGGAAACATCATCTTCCAACTCAAGACCAGCAGCACGGCGCGCCCCGAGGTCCACTACGTTCATGTGAGCGCCAACCGCTTCTCAGACGTAAGCAGCCACCAAGTAGCTCATTGAACAAGACAGCAGCACGGCGCGCCCCGAGGTCCAGTATGTCCATGTGAGCGCCAAACCGCTTCGCAGATCCTCAGAAGCCATGGTATTGAGTCGACTCAAAATACAACATGATTTAGTTTCACAGGAAAGACCAGCAGCTCGGCTCGTCCTGAGATCCATTATGCTCGCGTGAGCACCGGCGTCCATTATTCAACGCGTTTTGATCCATTGTGCCCCTGCGAGCGTCGGTTGCTTCGTCCTTAGGCGTTCCAGATGCTAAGCAACCCGTATCATCGGTGCCTTAGGCAAGCTCGCCGTTCAGATCATACCGGTCGTGATTGCTTGGTAGAGAAGCTGGCTAGTCTGTTAGGGGTCCGGCCCTTGTGTCCGGAATCGCTGGGTGGGTCTTCGATAGCCTTCAGAGGCGATGCGAATGCGAGGCGTTCATTGGCTCATCGCATGTTTTCGCGGCGTCCTGAATCTCTCGCAAGTCCCGCTTCTAGCCTTTCCGCACACAATCTAGCTCCCGTTTTCAGAAGACGTTTTCGTGCCTGAACTTTCTACATTCTGAGGCCTCCCGCATCCAGCGTTCCTGATGGCATGTCTTGTTGTCTCGTAAGTTCTATTCTGCTTTCCCTATCTTGTCCGCGATGTCATGTACCTTAACCGGTTGGCAGGGCGAGGTGGTGTTGCGGGACGGCATGTACATTAGCGACGGCGACGTGCACATGAAGTTGGAAGGGTCTACCTCCGCCCTTTCGGCCACCTTAGAATGGTCCTTAGCAGGTGCGTCCACCTTAGAATGGTCCTTAGCAGGTGCGTGCCACCTTAGAATGGTCCTTAGCAGGTGCGTGCCACCTTAGCATGGTCCTTAGTAGGTGCGTGCCACCTTAGAATGGTCTTAGCAGGTGCGTGCCACCTTAGAGTGGTCCTTAGCAGGTGCGTGCACCTTAGAGTGTCCTAGCAGTCTGCACCTTAGAGTGGTCCTTAGCAGGTGCGTGCCACCTTAGAGTGGTCCTTAGCAGGTGCGTGCCACCTTAGAATGGTCCTTAGCAGGTGCGTGCCACCTAGAATGGTCTCTTGGAGCAGGGTGCGTGCCACCTTAGAGTGGTCCTTAGCAGGTGCGTGCCACCTTAGAATGGTCCTTAGCAGGTGTGTGCCACCTTAGAATGGTCCTTAGCAGGTGCTGCACCTTAGAATGGTCCTTAGCAGGTGGTGCGTGACTTCCCGTGCATTTCTCGAAACCCTAGCTCTAATCTTCGTGTGACTGCCAACAGCGTCCTCCTCCTCGTTATTCCATTGCGATGTGAGTCGGCCGTAGTCTTCTTTGTGACGCGTGCTGCTCTGCTCGTTCCTGGCTCGGCGCGGAACGCTTCCTCCTCACCTAGTGACGTTTTGCCTCCTCTTCCTCCCTCCGTGCGCTGTCTCCCCCCTTGCTCTGCGCGTTCGCCTCGCCCTTTGCTCTCACCCCTCCGCCTCGCCCTTTGCTCGGCGCAGTTCGGCTGGAGCTGAGCCCACAGAAGTGGACGAAGAGAGCACCGCCAACGGTTACCAGCTGGTAAGCCTCGCTCACTCGTTCGCCTTGCTCCGCTCGTCTTGGCCCGCTCGTGTGCCGCTGTGAACGCCTGTCGCCTGCTGGTCCTCATCGCGCCGGCAGTCGTTAGCCCTGCAGGCTGTAATGCGCGAGTCGTTGCTCTAGCAACCACCCCCTTTGCGCCCCTCTTCCCGCCTCTCCCCCCTCCCCCTCTCTCTCTCTCGCTGCATCCTCCTTGCAGGAGCTGCACGACTCCAGTGAACGGGGGCAAGGATCGCCAAATCACATACGACTCACCATCCTGTGCCTTGGTGCCCTTTTGCCCCGCTCCCCCCCCCTCTCTCTCTTGAATCGTCCCTGCAGGAGCTGCGCGACTCCAGTAAACGAGCACCAGGATCGCCGATCACAGTACGCCTCGCGCTGCCTCATTCCTTTCGTCCATCCCGGCATCCCGTCATCTCATCGTTCGCGCTGAACTCATCGCCTCTTCCAGCCTTCTCCAAGCGTGGCCTTCTTTCTTCTTGCCTTGTCGGCCCGTTTCCCCCTCCTCCTGCCCCTTGCCGCTGGCATTATGACTATCGCCCTCTGTCCACCGCTTCGTGGCATAACCTTGTCTGTCTGTGCCGTCCTTTCCTCCCCTTTCCCTCGCCCCTTGCCGCCCCAGCAGCAGCGGTTGTGGAAATGGCAAAGAACTGCAAGATACGGATGATCACGCACGTCTCCCCCGCCGTGTGGGAGTGGCGAAGTGAGTCTCCGTTGCCCTCTCGCGTTACTACGCAGTGCACACCCTGAAGAATCATTGCCTGCCATCGCCTGCGCGTTGTTTCGTCCCGACCCGACCCTCTTTTCTCGCCGCCCCACATCACCCCCCTCCCATTTTCTTTCCCAACCCTCCCTCCCCCCTCCTCTCTCTCCCCCGCTCTCCTCTCTCTTCCCCCTCCCCCCCCCCCCCCCCCACCTCCCAGACGGCGTGCAGGAGCACGTACCAGCGGGAGGACAGCAGCAGTAGTCCCGCCTCTTCTCCCTCCCATCCCCCACACCACTCCTCTCTTCCCGTGGCCCTTCTCTCTTCCACCAGACGGCGTGCAGGAGCACGTGCCCAGTCAGATGCAGGGCTTCGTGGAGAGCGTGCGAGAGGACAGCAGCGCAGACCGCGCCTCTCGCCACCCCTTCGTCAGACCAACCGTTGCCGCCTCCTCAGCAGCAGCAGCCGCAGCAGCAGCAGCAGCTGCAGCTGGTGGGTAACGCCGCGTCCGCCGCGGTAGCGCGGCAGGGGCGTCAGGGATAGGCGCGGGGCTAGGGCTAGGGGGAGGGGTAGGGGTAGGGAAGGGCTGAGCTCAGGGGTGGGGGGGTCGGAGCTACTGGCAGAAAGCAGGGGGGCGGCGGGGGGAATGGGGGAGATGGGGGGAGTGGGGGAATCGTGGGAGGCGGACGCGGCTCTGGTGGCAGCAGAGGATCCGGTGGGGGGAGGGCGCTGGGCGGAAGGGGGGAGGGGGAGGCGGGGGAAGGGGAGGATGAGAGCGACGCGCCATGCTTTGCTACCCTGAGGATCAACGCGACTGCGGTTGACCTGGAGGCGTACTACAATAAGGCCGTGAACTACACTCTCATGGTCACCTTGTCGTGAGTCAATGGCTTTTCTCACTCACTCACTCTTCCCTCACACACACACACCACACACACTCTCTCTCCTCTCTCTCTCTCACTCTCTCTCACTCACTCTGAGGATCAATGCGACGGCTGTTGACCTGGAGGCGTACTACAGCAAGGCCGTCAACTACACTCTCATGGTCACCTTCGTGAGTCAATGTTGCTGCTCCCCTCCCCTCCCTTTACTCCCCCTCTCCCCTTCTCCCCGTCTCCCTCCTCCTCCTTTACCTTCCATCCCCCCTCCTTCCCTCTCCTCCTGCGTCTGTCTGCTTTCTGGGGGGAGTGGGGTGGGGTCCCTCCAGCTGTGCGCTGCGCCTCGTTGTGCTGCTATCATCTTGACCGGGTGCCCGTGCTGCCCTGCTCCTGTGCGCAGCTCCCTTTCCTGCCAGTGCGCTCACTCACCTGTCGTGTGTCCTGCGCTAAGTTCCTCCCCTCTTTCCTGTGTGCCTGTGTGCCCGTGTGCCTGTGCCGCCTGTGTGGCTCTGCTGCCTGTGGTGGTGCTGTCTGTGGTGGTGCTGCCTGTGCTGTGGCCGCGTGCAGGTCTCCTTCCTGCAGGTGCTCTTCATCATCCGCCAGATGGAGCACAGCAACACACAATCGGTGCGTCCCTTGCCTCGCTTTCTCCCTTCAATGCCCCTCTTGCTTCTCCTGCCGTTGCATCACCTTCTCAATCGACTCAAAAAGTCTTCAGTCCGTTGCATCACCGCTCCAATCCCAGGCCTTTTTTCTCCACTCCTCCCACTCCCCTCCTCCCCCCTTTCCATGCACTCACAATACTCTCTCTCTCTCTCTCTCTCCTCCCCTCTCGCGTCTCTTCCTCCACTCCTTTCCCTCCTTTCCTCACGGTGACTGTTGAGTCGACTCAAAAGTCTTCTTTCCTCACCCATCTCTCCCCATCATCCCACCACAGGGAGCAGCCTTTTTTGAGTCGACTCAACAATCGACTCATGACTCACCCATCTCTCCCCATCACCCCACCACAGGGAGCAGCCATTACTCACCCTTCTTTGCCATTGCCCTCCTCTCCTCACCCATCTCTCCCCATCATCCCACCCACCACAGGGAGCAGCCAAGGTGTCGATGCTGATGGTGGGCCAGCAGGCCATCATGGACGCCTATCTCTGCCTGCTGCACCTCACAGCCGGCATCGTCGTGGGTAAGCCATCCTCCTTATAATGTGCTCCGTGTGTCCTAGTACCGCCTTTATTGTCTTATTCATGTCCACAAAACAGGGCTCCGTTGCCACAGCAGATCATCATTGCCACAGCAGGTCATCATTTCCACAGCAGGTCATCATTGCCCCAGCAGATCATCATTGCCCCAGCAGGCCATAATTGCCCCAGCAGGTCATCATTGCCCCAGCAGATCATCATTGCCCCAGCAGGCCATCATTGCCCCAGCAGGCCATCATTGCCCAGCAGGCCATCATTGCCCCAGCAGGCCATCATTGCCCCAGCAGGCCATCATTGCCCCAGCAGGCCATCATTGCCCCAGCAGGCCATCATTGCCCAGCAGGCCATCATTGCCCCAGCAGGCCATCATTGCCCCAGCAAATCATCATTGCCCCAGCAGGCCATCATTGCCCCAGCAGGCCATCATTGACGCGTATCTCTGCGTGCTGCACCTCACAGCCGGCATCCTGGAGTCCCTGTTCAACGCCTTCGCCACAGCGGCGCTCTTCAAGTTGGTCATCTTCTCCGTCTGTGAGATGCGCTACCTGCTGATGCCGCATGCCTAACGTCCCAATCCCCACCCTCAATCCCCTCACTGCAGGGGCGGAGTCCTTATTCATCGCATTCGCCACAGCGGCGTTCTACAAGTTGGTCATCTTCTCTGTCTTTCAGATGGCCTACCTGCTGATGTCGCATGGAAGGCCCATTCCTCATGCCGCGTGCCCCCTGCCCTGTGTCGATTCCCCCTACCCCGCCCTTCAAGCAGGAGCGGAGTCCCTATTCAATGCATTCGCCACAGCGGCGTTCTTCAAGTTTGTCATCTTCTCCATCTTCGAGATGCGCTACCTGCTCGCCATCTGGAAGGCGCGTCGCCCCGCGCAGTCGTCCGAGAGCTGGGATCTCATGCGGCGGGAGCTCTCCATCCTCTACTCGCGATTCTGTGAGTGCAAGCATGGGAATGCATGAGCTCGTTGATTGATTTGCCATTGGTACGCACATAGCCATTTGTAATTGCAGCCCCCATCGCCCCCCCATGCCCAGTATGCCCTTCAGCCCGTACCTCAATTTCCTTGTTCCCGCGTGCCCTTGTCTTCCCCGCCCCTCCCTTGGCCCCCCAATCTTCCACTCCCACCCCCCCCTACCAGACGGCCACCTCCTTTGGGGCATTCTCCTCATCTACCACTTCAGCTCGGCGCTGCCCCACCTGCTGCTCTCCTCACACCCTCTGTTACCCCTTGCCCTTCCCTTCCTCCTCCTTCTCCTCCTCTCCCTCCCCCCCCACCCCCACCTCCCCTTTCCAGACGTCTGGGAAAGTTTCCTCATCTACCACTTCAGCATAGCCCTGCGCTGCCTGCTGCTCCCTCAACCCTTTGACTCTTTCCCCCCCTTCTGTTTCGCCAGACGGCTTCCTCCTGGGGGTATTCTCCTCATTTACCGCTCCAGCACGGCCCCTGCTTACCTGCTACTGCCTCCTCTCACCCCTTGTTGCCTATTGTCATAACCCCCCCCACTTCCCCCCCCTCCCCCCCCCCTCCCCTCCCCCCCCCCCCAACACCCCCCACTCCCCTTCACCAGATGGCTTCCTCCTGGGGGGCATTCTCCTCATCTACTGCTTCAGCACAGCCCTGCGCTACCTCCATTCTCCTCACAACCCTTGTTTCCTTGGCCTCCCTTCGCCCCCCCTACCCACCGCCACCTCCCCTTTTCCAGACGGCTTTCTCCTGGGGGGCATCCTCTTGAATCTACCGCTTCAGCACGGCGCTGCGCTACCTCTGCTTCTCTTCTACTCCTTCTGGATCCCCCAGATAGTCACATCTGTTATAAGGGACTCCCGCAAGCCGCTCCACGTGCACTACATCCTCGGCATGTCTGCAACGCGCCTCGCCATCCCACTCTACATTTCGGCTGCCCGAAAAACTTTATGCGGGTGGAGCCGAGTCCGGCGTGGTGTGCGGCGCTGATTGCGTTCATGGGGCGCAGGTGCGGCGCTGCTGCTGCAGCACTACTTGGGGCCCGCTGGTTCATCCCCAAACAGGTGGGTTGCTGGTCGGAATACGTTGTTGGTGTTGCGTTGCATGTATTTGCCGGCTGAGAAGTATGCCTACTTCCGCGTGTGCCATACCTCTCGTCTCTCTGAAGTGCAGCGTTCATCTTCGCTTCGTCCGTCCCCCTGCCCTCCCCTGTGCGCGGTGAATTTTGAGTCGACTCAAAAGTCTCCCCTGTGCGCCCCTCAGTTCCTACCCGAGAAGTAGTCCTACTTCCGCCGCGTGTCGTGCCTCATGTGGCACTTCCATACCCATAACCTCTCCTCTCTCATGCTGCCCCCTCCCCCCTGTGCGCCCCTCAGTTCCTACCCGAAAAGTACTCCTACTTCCGCCGCGTGTCGTGCCTCATGCGGCAGAGCAGCGACGCCGATGACAGCGGCCCTGCGGACTGCGTCATCTGCATGACGCCTGTGCCCATCACCTCCCACTCCATGGACCGCATGGTAGGGCGTCTGGCTTCTGTATTGGTAGCATGTTGTAGCCATTGTGATCCATTCCACAACCAGCCATCTGCATGACGCCCATGCCCATCACCACCCACTCCATGGACCGCATGGTAGGGCGCTTTGTGTTTCATTTGTAGTCACCTGCATCTGCATGACGCCCATGCCCATCACCAGCCAGTCCGTGGACCGCATGGTAGGGTGCTTGGCTTCTGTATTGGTAGCATGTGTAGTCATTGTGATCCATTCCACAACCAGCCACCCGCATGACGCCCGCGCCCATCACAAGCCACTCCATGGACCGCGTGGTAAGGCATTCCGTTAGCGTGTTCACAGCATGGTAAGATGTGCTCGCTTTGTATCCGTAATCGTCATCTGCATGACGCCTGTGCCCGTCACATCCTTGGCAAATCATGGGCAGCATGCCAAGGCATGCCACAAGTAAGGCAGGCCATACATACCTGGCACTCCTATCTTCTGGTGTTTTCATCTCACACCTGTTGGCGTCCATTGCATGGCGTCCATTGCATGGCGTCCATTGCATGGCGTCCATTGCATGGCTCTCCCTGCCGGATCACCCCCTTGTGACCACATGTTCCACGTGGCGTACCTCGCCCCATCGCATGCGTCCCGGACTCCCCTGTTCATAATCTGCTGCGTTCTGTGTGTTGTTTATCATCCCCCCATGGCAGGTGACCCCGTGTGACCACATGTTCCACACGGCATGCCTCCAGCGCTGGATGGACATCAAGATGGAATGCCCCACCTGCCGCCGCTGCCTGCCGCCCGTCTGACACCCCCCTCCCACCCACCATCACCCTCTCTCCACAACCTCCACCATCTTGACCCCTCTGTCACTGTCACCGTCTCCCCTCCCCACCACCACTGCCTCCCCCCCGTCTGACAATCCCCGACAATCCCCTCGCCATTACCTTCTATATCACCCTCCCTCCCACCATCTTCTTCCCATGTCCCTCCGTCACCACCCGTTGGGGACCTAAGAAGGCTGTGATCCACCTTGGTGGATCCCACACTAGCCACAAGCAATGGGCGCTGCCTACACGCTGTGATTTGGCCTCAAAAGAGGCACTGTAGCATCTTGTTGGGGAATATGGGGAACACTAAGGCAGCATCAGCGTGGTGTTGATGCGATTACGATAAGTGCTGAAAAGGGGAGGTTTTTTAATTAGAAAATGTGCAGTGGGTCTTACGTGGCCTGGTATGAAATTCCGGCTGAAAAAGAAATGGTGTAGTCCGGCCTGTCACTAGGTTCTACGGCCAGGGATGCCGAATAGGAACCGTTGCAAGCATTTTCAACATTTACCAGCGTTATTTTCAACATTCTCAACTGTCACTCATTACATAGTTATTGCACTCGTACCCTAGTGAAAGCAGGAACCAACAGATCCAATAGCGTTGCTAAATACATCTTAGAACGTATCACCTAGGGAATGTATTCAAGCACCTCCACATACTTGAAGAACTTGACACGTCTTGGGCTCCTAACCGGCGATCCCTGTCTGGGGCTGCAGGGCTCACTGAGGCATGGCTTGACAGGCTTCCATGCTGCCACCCTCCTGCTGCTCCTGCTAGCTTTGCTGCCAACGCTGCCACAGCCCACTGGGGACGGAGGAGAGGCAGGGAGGTTGTTGCTCGGCCTGTGAGGTACGGAAGAGGCAGGGGGGTCGGTGCACGGCCTTGGAAACTGAGGAGAGGCAGGCGGGCTGTTGCTCGGTGTATGAGGTAGAGGAGAGGCAGTGCAGTTGCTGCAGTTGCTGCTGCTGCTGCTGCTGCTGCTGATAGCCGCCTTTGAAGATTGAGGCGAGGCAGGGTTGCTGCCACCGCTCACCCTAGTGCTTTGGAAGGAGGTAGCTAGCGTGGTCGTGCTCCGAGGGCCCAGGACCATGGCTTCCCCAGGACGACTGGGAAGGCTTGCTGCTGCATCTGCAGGCCTCTGGAGGACGCGAGAAGAAGCAGCAACGTACTCGTTATAAGCAACCCTGGTAGAAGTGTTAAGGGTCGCCTTTTCCGCGCTCGGGTGGCGGGGGGGTGACACGAGGTTGGCGGGCGACGATGGTACTCCTGAGAGGGAATGCCGCCGCCGGTGAAACGCGGAAGCAGGCTTCTTCCCGCGGGGAGGCGATGGTGTTAGTGAGAGCGCAGTCGCGCAGTCAGCGGCGGAAAGAGCTCGGCGGGGAGACGGGTTCCCGCTGCGGAGCGGGGCGGGGGCGCTGGGTGTGACTCCGCGGCGGGGGCTTTCCGCCACGGCGGGACGCGCTGGCGCGGAGCGGCCGTGCGGCGGTTCTACCGCTAGCCGGCGGTCCTTCTGCAGGGAGCTCGGTACAGATCGAGAGGCTGGTGGGTGTGAAAGAACGCCATGAGTGATAAGACCGATGATAGCGATGGTCAATGGCGGACTGGACTGGAGCGGAGGGGAGAAGAGGGAAGATAAACGAA